AAGACGACCTGTCCCTCGCCGGGCACCGAGCTTAAACAAGAGGTTTTTTATAGAGGTTGACTCCTCGCGGCCCCGGGCGGTTAAGCCAAGAGCCCCCGCTCCTACACTGGGCCGATAGACGTGATCACCGACACCCAGTGCAGGTTTACGGTTTGAAGCCAGTTGCACCGAAGTGCTGTCCGGCTGCGCAGTTAAGCACCCACCGGACCTGACTTGTCAGTAGGCAAAGACGAAAAAGAAGAAAAGAAAACAGAGTTACAGAAAAGAGACGAAGAAAGAAAAGACAAAGACGAAAATAGAAAAGACAAAAGAGGTGCCTACTCCTACTCGCCGGACTATCGGCCGACATAGTAGCCGTATCCCGAAGGAACGACTACCATCCCGCCCGGGGCGTACCAGAACCAAACCATTGCTCGGCCACCGTTCCCCGCGGACGTATCCACGAGGATGGGGAAGCCTCCCAATGGCAGGCCCATACTTGGAGGTTGCCCGACTCACGCCCCAACCTAACCTAACCTAACCTAACCGGAGGTTATAATTGTATTCCGGTCAGGTGTAGACCATTGGAGGGAGTTTTAGTGTTGTTCGATAGATGGCTTTGCACTGAGATGCGCCTATGTGTAATAATTTGATAGTTATCGTATGTGACGGTGTAATTGAATTAATTGATTGAATTAGCCAATGCCGAGCCGGTGTAGGAATAGTTATTAATTAATGTCGTATTAAGTAATGCTCACTCGGTTATTCCAAATCAGCAAGTGTTACTACGACAACACTAATGGTAGTACAATTTTCAATTGAATAGAATAAGAGCTGAGTTTCTTGTCAGTTCATCTTAGAACGAAAGCACTTCGAACTGACGATGACATATATATAGTAATTTTTTTTTTTTTTGTAGCTGTGACGTGGGTGAGTGGAAAGAGTAGTCATGCTCACTATGTGGCGGCGTGGTGGTCCGGGTCATTGGGCTGGCTCCCTAAAATTTTTTTTTTTTTTTTTTTTTGTAGTCATGCTCACTAAAATGTCCAGACATGTGGCGGCGTGGTGGACCGGGTTATTGGGCTCCCTAAAATATGGTCGAGCGCAGTGATGGCTGGCTCATTCGTCGGTGCTTGTAGGGATTGGTCTGCTCTTATAACTACGACTGATTTAATCTTATTGTGTTATTATATTTGAGCCTAAATAAATTAGTGCTGGTCGGTAGTTTGTATTCACACGTTTCGACTTGTAAAATATGAACTTGCAAGGATTGTTTAAAAGAGCAACACACAAGTTTCTTGCTTATTCTTCTTGTGATGAGACAGCTTTCCGAATAAGCGGTTTTATTATATAATAATATAATATAATAACAGGATTTTATTACAGCGCATTATTCGATTATGCTTTTAATGAGTCTCTGGGAACAGTAAATTATTCATGTAGGTACATACATTTCAAAAATGAACTTTTAATGTAGGTACATACATTTCTTTCATACATTTCATACATTTCAAAAATGAACTTTTTATGTAGGTACATACATTTCTTTCATACATCTCATACATTTCAAAAATTATCTTTTAATGTAGGTACATAACACCCCATGTCAGACCCCTTGTATTTGGAATAAACTTAAAAATAATGGCAAAAATATTAGAGAAATATATTTTTAATACGAATATTGTTTTATTTTTGTTCATCAACTTTATCCCTCACTAACAATACTAGTAGTAGTACATAACCTGGTAATTTAGCACCGCTAAAGATATAGAAAGATATTATTATTGTAGATATCGAAAGTTATACAAGTAATTCTGAATGTTATCAAGTTCAAAATAAGCACACATTACTGGCTTAGATAATAGGGTAATATTACTTGTAATAAAAACATTTGTGACACCCATATGTATACATATTACATAGTAAGTACTTATGCCCGCGCCGTGAGACTCATCTAAGCGTACAGCGCATGCGCGTCGTGCGGTAACCACACCGACCGACCAATAGGAGCGCGTCTCTCGCGCTTCCAGAAAGTTCGCGACTAATGGACGGTATAGTAGTAAGGCAAGTCCAGTGACATCATTATAATATTTTCTCGTTAAGTTTTATTGTAATATACATATTTTCGTAATAAGTAACGTGTTCCCCCGTTACACATTTCTATGACAAAAAAAAAAAAAAAAAAAAAAAAAAAAAAAAAAAAAAAAAAAAAAAAAAAAAAAAAAAAAAAAAAAAAAAAAAAAAAAAAAAAAAAAAAAAAAAAAAAAAAAAAAACCTAGACCGCCCCAGTTCACTTCATCTAGGATTGAAGTTTTAAGCTATTAAGCTTAATTAATATTCCTTCTTTTGAAACCGAATTTCATTTCATTATAGATATAAATTAACTGACCCGGCAAACCTTGTTTTGCTTTAAAATTAACTAGCTGTACCCGCGACTTCGTCCGTGTGGAATAGTGACCTTTACCAAATAAATAATAAATATTTAATAATTTAACTCGAAAAATCCAAAGAAAAAAAAAAAAAAAAAAAAAAAAAAAAAAAAAAAAAAAAAAAAAAAAAAAAAAAAAAAAAAAAAAAAAAAAAAAAAAAAAAAAAAAGTTTCATCGTACTAGTTTTGAAAAGGACGAATTTCTTCATCATCATCATCTTTCATCTTATATTTCATTTTACCCTCTTAAGGATAACATTTTACATACTTAGAATGTCATATTTATTTATATTTAGTCAGCAGCCTAAAAAAAAAAATATTTTTAATTAAATTATAAGATTATAAATTAAAGCTTTAGCTTACAAGAAAAATGACGATATTTTCATATAGCCTTTCATGTCCCCTTTCAACCCTTTTTCGCAAAAAAAAAAAAAAAAAAAAAAAAAAAAAAAAAAAAAAAAAAAAAAAAAAAAAAAAAAAAATTGTCTTTTAAGCCTTTCTCAGGGTCTACATTATCTGTGTACCAAATTTCAATTAAATAAGTTCAGTAGTTTTGGCGTGAAAGCGAGACAAAAAGACAGACTGAGTTACTTTAGCATTTATAATATTTGTAAGAATATCGCTATTAAAAATAGGGGTTGTGAAAGACGGGCCAAAATTTAGGCGTGTATGTATTTTTAATGTAACATAAAAAAAAAAAAAAAAAAAAAAAAAAAAAAAAAAAAAAAAAAAAAAAAAAAAAAAAAAAAAAAAAAAAAAAAAAAAAAAATATTGCGGCCCCCCCCACCCCTATGACTTAGGGGTATAAAAAATAGATAACAACCCTACCTCAGACCTAGCAAATATAGGTACATATCAAATTTCATCAAAATGTGGGAGAAATATGGCAACTAACACTGTGATACGCAATTTATATATAAGATATATATTCTCAATAGGGAAAAGAAGGGTATATATAGAATACATGAAGTATATACCAGTAAATTCATTGTAGCTAAAATCAGTCTCTTACACCAAACGATTGAAAAAAAAAATCGTATAGCCCGATTTTGATACGTACGAGTATAAACGTATCAAAATCGGGCTATACGTATAGCGCAGACGCGTTGCAACATATCTTCATAACTAACATAATATATACATTGGCACATAAGCCATATCTGCAGAGTGTCGGCTAACGATATTATACCTACACATTTACATTGAATCTTGAATCGTCCCTAATGAGGTACACGATACAATTACCTACATATCTATTATATACCTATCTTAACAAAACAGATGTCATGTAGATTGAATTGAATGCCATCTATTTTCGTGCTTTGTTACTAAGCACCCACTAGTAATCCGAACTGCTTCAGATCTAGCGACATCTAGCGGCTACGGCGGCGAAATAAAATTGCCCGAAGAATAGCCCGAGTTAGGAAGGAACTATTTTCTTGTATGGGATGGGGTATCTGTATGTAATATTATGTTATCTGTGGTTTAAACCAAGGGCAGGCTACGTGCGTTTCATATTGATATACCCTTTCCGTTACCCTGTATACGTCGCCTAGGGCCGGTAGTTCCTTTGACAGCCGGCTAGTAGGAACGTGCAGGTTTGGGTCGGTCTGTCTGATTCCAGACGGCACCACGCCAAACACGTAAGGCCGCAGATTGTCCACCGTTGTTTTTATAAATATTGTATTATTTTGATGCCTCGTTTTGTGAGCCCACTTTGGAAATTATACACATATAGTACAATTTTTTTTAAGGATTATCATCCTTAAAAAAAAAAAAAAATTGTACTACTACACTGGAATGTGAGTGGAGTATAATAAGATGAACATGAGGTCAGAAGTCAAGTCAGTTAGCCCATCGTGACAAGTTCACCAAGAATTTATCACGATGGTTTCCAGGGGGAACCGCGTGGAGGTCAACCTGATATCCCCTTCCCCCCTTATACGGTTATTAGTTTTTTTTTTTAAATACCTACTCGTGTCCGCCACTCTAGTCACAATAATAATTATGTACGCTTCACACAGCTCTATGTAGTACAAAGCTCATGATATCTTATGTTACGGGAACTAAACAACTGATGGAAATACTTAAACACAATGTTTATATGCAAATTTGTAAACGTACATTAAAAAAAAAAAAAAAACCCAATATGTATACATCAAGATACGATCACACATGTATACATGTTTGCAACTTGCGAGGATCGAACCCACAACACTTGGAAGTAAGTCTAGCGGTTTACTCACTGGTTTCTGCAGTTATTTCGCTTTGCTGCTCTTTGAAATGTGTTTCAGTGAAATTACAGGGTAATAGGCGTGACATCTTAGTGCTCTGGATCTGGGGTATCACGGGTGTTATATGATGACGTGGTGCCCGTGGTGCTGTTAATGTGTATAGGCCACGGTTAATGCTTACCATTAATCTGATGGGCCGTCCTCGTCAACTTGTTCAACACATAAAATAGAAAAAAAAAAATAATAATAATCAAATAAAACAACTGTAAATTATATTAACAAATCTATATTATTTCCTTATAAACATTCCATTTGTTTGTTGTATACACCTACAATATATATTATATTGCATCTTACATTAGTTTAATAGACAATATTGAATGCTAGTCTCGAGAAACTTTTTTGTCCTCCTTGTCCGTAATCTTTGTGTACGTGTTAATAACGAGTTGTTTATTTTCATAAGCCCATGCCAGCAGCACACATATGAAGCACACCGCTCCGACACCTATGTGCATTACTATCGAATCATGTAACAATTTGTTTTCCGAAACTTTAGTTATGCATCCCCCAATAAACAGTGCTAGGAGAAAAATGTTTCCCACATAAAGTCCATCCAACGGTTTATGACTTGTGTCCTTATATTTCTCGTGTATAAAATGTATACTGTGCACAATTCTAGCGAACATATTTATACAATTTGATATAATAAAGCCTACAGGTCCTAATACGTATGTCAAGACATAAGACAACAGAAGAAAACTAATTGAAAAGAACACCATCAAATAATTATAATTATTCAGTTGGACACTGGTCATTGTAGCGAATGCATAACACTCCGTGACACCATTGACAGCCAACAGCACAATGGCCAAACAGTGGCTGCGAAGCAGTTGTACCGGCAACCCACTCTCAACAAATGCCTCGCCACCATACAACAACAGTAAAGTGCGCGCGTAACTCTGCCCAAACACTAACACTATCAATCCAATAGAAGTTACAGTCTTACAAACGTGTGACAACACCGTACAGGACTCTTGCACTTTGTACTGGTCCTGCCTGTGCACTGGCAAGTCTCTATTGACCATTTGTGTAAAGTAAAAATAGCTACTGTCCTCAATGGGCCTAAAAACAAATCTAGCAGCGAGACTACCAAGATTATTCACCACATCATATGTGGCTTGCTCAGAAAATGACATAACAGGGTTCACGGACATCACATACTTTTCGCCCTCTGTCAACAGTTGCTTTACTACACCTTGTTTGGCAAAACTGATAGTGAGAGAACTTAATTTTTTGTTGAATGTTGTACTAAAGGATCCCAAATACTTTGGAAAGAAATCTTTTATAGATGTAAACTGAAAATCCTCCATATTATCATATAATTTGTGCAACACTGATTCGGGAACAAATCTTGTTTTCAATGCCCCCTTGGCATACAGTGGCTTCTTTTTAATGTACCAAAAGAAGAAGACATAATAGCTAAGAACAATGACTCCAATACTGCCCACTTGTGCCACTGAGAAAGCAATCAGCGCTAAAGACCTATCATAGAAAATAATGGATAAAAACAAGATGCTTCTAACAAAAATGTGCAAAGTATCAAGGGCTACTTTCAATTTGACAAAACAATACAACTGAGCAACCAGTGCCATATTGGCTGAACATAATTCTAAAACACATGAAAATGCTACACTCCAGCAACCAAATGCATATTGAAATGCATATTCTGGATTACTTAGAGGTAACAGGTTCAACCAGACGTAAACAAAAATTAGGGACAAAACAAAACTAATGGGTACAGAAAGCCAGATTTGATTAATCATATGACCCCAACTAAATTCATCTTTCTGGCCCAAACATGCCCGGTTGAAAGGTTCCCTGCTCAAAAATAGTATTGTACTCTCCAACAACAACAGTCTGACATTCATTATACCGAGCACTTCATGTCCTACGTTCCTGATGACCCACGCATTTATTAAAAATGTAATACATCTAAATAATATCTGAAATAAAATATTAAAGGAGGCATTTTCAAGACTGCTCATTAATAAATTACGAGCCATATTGATAACTTAGAAAACTTCAAACATTGACAGTATTTCCCTCTGACACTGCTAATGGTATGCTTCTCTTTACCACATAAATCTTCTTATTTGATAGACATATAACGAACCAATGGTCATCGTAAGTGATGGATATTTTCTTGAACTTTTCATTTGGTGAAAAGGCACACGGATCAACTCTGAAAAATTAAAAGCTTTATAAAGATACCAACTAGATATATTAATTTAAGTCGCAAGTAGTTTATGAGGTACCCACTTGTTAGATAACGTGATGAGATCAGTAATTATCGTGGCAACACGTTCATCGTTCTCAAGATCTCCACCAGATTCAAGGACTGCACCATCCTCCGCGAGTACCAAATAACCAATTTGGTCTGGAATTTTGTCCATTATATTACACCTGCGAATTAAACACTAATCAGTTACTTTTGACAAGTATTGATTGGATTAATTTTTATAATACAATACTATGTACCTAGTGACACAAAGAATTATGATATTAATCACAGCAATCACTTTACTAGTAAAAATACAAGACTGGAAACAACTTTAAGTCAGTTTAGTTGTTACTCAGTTGTCATTGCCATAGTTAGTTGTCACTCATTTTGTTAGTTATCTACTCTATATTGAAAAAAAAAATGTGGTCTTGCATACAGCAAAAATAATTTTAATCTTATAACAAAATCATTAAACGATTACTTGTTAAGCTACTACGGCGACACAACGAAAATTCTGACTGATATAGGTATATGTAAGTACAGGCATCTCCAGCTTCCAAATTACTTATAAAAATCAGAAAACGTAATGATTAGAAGTCTTCGGATTATTTAATGATCAGAAGTGCCTAAATTTCAGTATATTTAAATAAAGAATTTTCTATTCTATTCAAATAAAAGCGCTAATACCTTTGTATCAAGCCACCACGAAAAATAAAAAGCAGACATACATTGTCCGCATTTCTAAATTAATTAAAACAATTACAGAATTCTATTCTACCTATATCTACATTATTAAAAGAACAACTCTGGAAATTACTCCTAGACGAACATGCATGTGTTTACTGCTAGAGAAAATGTTTCCCTAGTAGCTTTATGTTATACTCGAGACTTCGTCCGCATGGAATTTAACAAAAAAGAATTTGAGAATATTTCTAAAATAAAGGTAACCTAAGTTACTCCTTATTACATCAGCTACCTGCCAATAAAAGTCCCGTCAATATCGGTCCAGCCATTTCAGAGATTAGCTGGAACAAACAGACAAAAATTGTAAATAATGTTATTTTGGTGTATGTACCGTATTTACCATACATTCATATGAGTATAGTAAAAAAACGGTTATTTCAATATTACAAACAGACACTCCAATTTTATTTATATGTATAGATGTATAGATTCCACAATATGCTGTCTCCGCTTTCTCACCATAGGGATTTAAAACTAATATGTTAAAATGAAAATTTACGATTAAACAAATCGGTATCACACTTGGATGAAGAATACTCTTCAAGAAGTCTATTCTTCATCCAAGGCATCACCGGTACAGTGCAACCAAGCTATAGCTGGTAACATTGTTGGAAAATTTTACATTTATACCTGTCAATTTAGTGTCAGTTCAAAGTGTAAAGTAGATATACCAAGTGTCAGTTAAAAAAAAAAACAGACAATAGTTACATTTATAATATTTTTTACCTACGTTTGAAAGTTTTGATTTATGAAATACTAAGTTTGAAAAGTAATTATAGTACATGTGTGTTAAGTGTCTTAAAAGAAGCCTGCTATTCAGGTAATCCTGTTTATATATAATTCACTAACTTTTGTAGCAAAACAGTTTATAAAAGTATACTCGCATATCGAGTATAAATTTGTAATACCATAACCAAAATCTTATTTCAACTATTTAATCGCACTTGGTTTCCAAATATTATTTCCCTTATTACTTTTTATAATGTCAAGTTTTAATACATGATTTCACACTTAGCTATTATACATAAAACATGCTATGCTTGTTGTTATTGTTAAATACCAATTATTGGCTCGAAATATGCCTGCCTATTGTCACAATATGCACAATTCACATATCATCATTTAGTTTCAAGGTCAGCAGAGGTTGTTGATAGAAATACTTAGAAGTATTATTTTGTCATAATACATAGATAACATTCAGATCAATAAAAATCAGCAGGAATAAAATTGTTGCAAGTATTTGAACTCACAACCATCAGAAATAAAACTGTATGTGAGAAGATTTATTATTTATATTGCAGGCTCACCACAAATACATGGCCTCTTGTTAGTTCATAGGAACAAAAGGCATATTAAATATAATTATTATAGTGCCTAGATGATGTTGTAGTAGTATTAATCACTACTTAATACTATACTTAATGTAAACTATAGTATTAAACGTAAGTAACATACACCTCACACTCACTACTCTTTTTAATGAGCAATGGTTTTACCATTATTATTTAATAATACTTTGTCTATTTCATTTCATTACTACTGAAATTATTTCTTTTAGTTTTTATAAATCTAGAAAAAAAAAATACTAAGCGGTAAAACTAAATCGACGTATTTTTCTGTCGAAAATATATTCGCAGTCGGAACCGATCAGTCCCGTGATGAGCGAGTCGCAACCGGACGCGGCGGGAGAGGCGGCGGCGGGCGGCGGCTCGCTGACGGCGGCGCAGCGGGCGCGCTGCGAGCGGCAGCGGCTGCGGGCCGCCACGCTCCGGGACGCTCGCCTGCTGCGTCGGCCGCGGTGCGTGCTGCAGGCTCCGAGCTCGGGGTCGCAGTGCTAGCGGCTCCACCGAGCTGCGATCTGAAACGTCTTATTGCAGGAGCGGCACGGTGGAGCGCGCGAACGGGTTCGCGGGCGTGGACTCGGGCGGCGGCTTCCTGCTGAGCGACGAGCCGCCGCCGCCGCCGCGCCTGCGCCCGCCGCCCGCGCCCCTCGTACACGCGGCGCAGCAGCCGCGCTGCCTCCGCTGCGACGGACTCTTTCCCCAGTCGTTCCTGTTCGACAACTTCGACCACAGCGTCTGCGACGATTGCAGGTCGGTATTCACCGCGGTCGAGTCCGCGCGTCGCGCGGGAACCGACCGACGAGCCTCGCTCACTCCCCAGGGACGACGAGGGCGCGCACGCGCTGGTGCCGCGCACGGAGGCCAAGAGCGAGTACCTGCTGAAGGACTGCGACCTGGACTCGCGGCCGCCGCCGCTGCGCTGCCTGCGCCGCCGCAACCCGCACCGCGCCGGCTACGGCGAGATGCGGCTGTACCTGCGCGCGCAGCTGGAGGAGCGCGCGCTGGCCGTGTGGGGCTCGCGCGACGAGCTGCAGGCGGAGCGCGGGCGGCGGCTGGAGGCGCGCGACGCCACGCGGCAGCGCCAGGCTCGGCGGCGGCTGCGCGAGCTGCGCATGGACGTGCGGTCCAGCCTGTACGACCGCTCGCACCGCGCGCACCAGCACCGCTACGGGCCCGAGCGCCGCGCCGCTCGCGACGAGGACTCGTTCGAGCGCGCCTGCCTCGACTGCGGCCACGTGCAGACCTACGAGAAGATGTAGCCGTCGACGCCCGCCTCCCGCCTCCCGCCTCCCGCCATATTTTCTGTGATAGCGAACTCGATCGACCCGCGTTCGGGGCCGCGTAAACCTAGCCGCTAAGAGTATGGTCATCGAAAGACAATAGATGAAAATGAAATACACGCAGATTGATTTTACTTGTATCGGTAACGAATTATTGACCGAAAAGTGGACATATATGTAAGCTCTAGTATTCTGAAAGCCGAAATAGATAAAACCACGGTTTACGGGTACCACGGTACTTGCCCATCGTTGCCGCTAAATCAATGAAAGACACTTTTTAATTACACTGAATTGTTAATAACAAGGAGAAAAATGTATGAAACGTATATACTAGTTGTAATAAAAATAAATGCAATATTAATAAACCTGTCTACTTAATTCTTGTAGTTAGAGCCCTGTGGTTCCCAGTAAATTGGATGTATTGTAGTAATTTCTAAAATTTCTGAGTAAAATAAAAAAAAAAATAGCTAAATAATATTAATTTAATTTTTTACCAAGCTAGACTTTATACAAAGCGAGATATGAGAGTACGGCAGCATGACATCTTAGTGGTTCGAAGTGTCTACACGAGAGTGTGTCTACGCGGGCATCACCTAACGATGTTCGTGTACACAGGCGACGCGTCAGTTGCCACTTGCCCTCTCGCGTCAGTTGCCACTGGGCTAGTTACGTAAAACTATGTTCCAAGACTCCTTACAGTAGCCATTCAAAGACCATCGACTGCACTCGATATATCGGGTCTCATCAATTGATAATATTCCGTATGTGTGTGTGTGTGTGTGTGTGTAGAATCCGCAAGCGCTCTCGTGTTTATAAAATAAAATTGCCATTGAAAATTATTTATATTTCAGTGCAAAGACGACAAATTATACAAACATTTGTTTCTGTAAAAAAATATTTGACCCTGGGTACCCCAAATCACTATCACAAACATAAACAAAATATACTTAGTGGAACCAAATAATACAATGCAGTTCAGTAGGTATACAACTGTAACATATATTTTGTACAGATTATTCTATACAATTTGTTGTTCTGTTCTGTACTGTACACATCAATAATTACGACATATTCTATAAAATATGTTAGGTATTAAAAAAAAAGGTAAATCTTAAGTAATAGACTGCATATATCCAATATCCGGTGCTCTAACTGACGGGAACCATATTAAAAGTAGCATATACTGCAACCTGCAAAACAATACTCTGGCAGACTTGAAACGAAACCAAAATATCAATCCCAGTGTACAGTTAGTATAGCACAGGCGGTGTGAAGGGCTGCTCACTACACTCCAAAATAGGAATCTAAAATACATTATCTTACTTTATTATTAGTAGGATAATTATTCAGCCTACTAATAATAATAATTATTAGTATTATTATTAAAAAGGGCATAATATGTTTTTGAATATGGTCTCACTGTCACTTAGTGTCACTTCAGATAAATGCAGCTCAATTGTAAAAAAATAATTAACTCACAAAATAGACGAATTAAAGTACACGCCATGAGCAGGAGGTTGGTGATAGAAGCTTAATAATATCATAACCACCATAATACTATAACAACAATGCTCGAATGCTACGGTCCACATGTTGCAAGTTAGAACCCAGGACTGTGTTCTGAGCAGATTGCAAACTGTTCACCATTCATGTAGCCTTGCTGCTGGTGGCGTGTGCCTTACATATGTTTCATCTACTTAACTGATCCATGTTAGGTACTCAAAATGATTTAATACAGTAGCAGTTCACAATTAGAATAAACCATTGAAAAATTAGACATAGGTATTTCAATTAAATATGAACTAAAGAAATGCAGTGTTAGATAGCCTTTAAATCTTCAGGAAGATCATTCTTGGGATGCTTGTTTTCAAAATGCTGCTTGTAAGTCTTAGGGTCGGGCATCTGTGCCTGCAACGAGAATACACAACGTTACCTGGGTACCCTCACTCACCTCTGTCCTATCCCTGTTAATTTTAGTCTGATTTTCTTAAAAATATATAAATACCAGCTGCATAATACTATATCTAGTTTATATAAAGTGTAGAATAAAAAATTATAAACAATTGTGAAAACAGGTTTTAAACAGTGTTAATCATTATATATGTATCTAAGTTTAAACTCTAAGGTTTTATACAAAATATGTATTTTTAAATTTAAATATTGTGTATTTTCACTACTTTAGCTTCTTGTGTTATGTATGTACAAATGTAACCAATTACACTATCACATATACTATAGATGGAGGTAAATTATGAGGTTAGATTATGTTATAACAAAATATCCTCAAAGCAGAATCTGTAACTGGAGGCTGGTCACTAGTTTGCATTTCTGGTTACTAAATGTGTTTGAAAGCAATAAAGCAATATAAGTGTGGCCCAGTACCTTGCAGACAACACAAACGTGAACCAATGCCTTCTGAGCTGCCTTCTTCTGGTCTGTGGCACTGTGTCCCTGTTGTTTCTTCATTTTTGATTGCTTTTCGGCAGCTTTTGCCTGTGACTGAATTTTTTGTTGGCCACGAGCCATCCTGCCCTGCAACCAGTATTATTCATCATGAGATACAACATAACATTGTTACAGTGTTGAAGTAGTACTACTATGGGGCTCAATATTCACCGGCCCCTCTTTACATAAACTGCATCATGTTGTGACATTGCATGATCACCACCACAGTACCAAACACCATGGTTAAACCGAATAAAATAATAACTTAAGAAATGTAACATTCAAATTTAGTTAAGGTAATAATGAACAATATGTCCTGCACAAAAGGCCTCAAAATTGTATGCGAGTAAATTATTTTGTTTGCATTAGCTTAATTTGTTGTTATATCTGAGGATTATGATTTATTTTAAACAGTAGATGGTGACAGTCAAACATACATGATGGTAGAACCAAAGGACTATGGGGTTAAGTCTACTCAGCCAGTCATTGCACTATGCTATACAACACTGTGTATATATACTACAATATCCCATTGCCATCCTATGAAGAAAAGTCGTTTGGTATCGAGAAATATGCTTCTATCACTCATGGTTGATGAAGACAACATTTAATTTACTCAAAGTTTCTAATGTAACCAATGTGTCAACATGGTTACATTACAAATACAAAGTACATACTCGCACAAGTCCGAATGGTAAGGTTATCCACACACCATCAATGTCCACTCCATACTGATGAACATTTACTGCCAGATGTTACACTTTCATTTAGCAAATGACTAATTACCACCAATGTGAGGATGTTTTTTTATATACGCGGCGACGTTACTTGTGATAACGTTACCAGCACCTGCGTGCAGCAGAGTGATTGTGATGTGATTTACCTTTGATTAAACTCCTCTCACGCCTTCGATTCAAGATGCCCTTTGTGTGATGATCTATCGAAGAAGTGTTTAAGACACAATAAATTTACTGAGTTCTACACATAAATTGTAAGGATCCGTAAGCTCCGTCAAGTAAACGACAACAAATACAATAGGTAAGAAACGTGAATAATTAATTTATATAGTTAGTAGATTAACAATGTTAATATAATGTGGCTTTGAGGGGATTTTTTTAGCTTTTGCCTGTTATAAGTATCACTCGTGTCACTGTCAGTCAAATGAACCAAATGTCTAGTATGGTCTAGTAGACAGAGATAAAAATAATCACACAAACGCTTCAAGTAATACGAAAAGCTTAATAAGCATGCTTTTCACAAACTTCCTTAAGTATTGCTTATGATAACAGTTTTTTCTCATAAGTGAACACGATATTTGTCATCTTGCCATGTATTTATCGTGTATCGCGGTGTTGCCGTACAGTATCATGTCTTGTATTTCAAATCAAATTTTCTACTAAATCCCCTCAAAATATAGTTTTGAAGACAAATTCCAACAATATCTAAATATGTAACTTTATTGTCTTTTTAGTTTGTTTTCTTGGATTTTCTAGCATGAAGAAGCAAATAAGTAAAGAGCTAGAGAGTTATTTTCTCTCTTGCTTAAATGCTTGAATCAATCATCAATCATCTATTCCTATTTTGTAATCATTCGTACACGCCAAATTTCTCTAAGGTCGTTTTGGTATTTCTTTACTTCCTTCTTATTTAACATAATTTAATTATTTCATCTGAGTTTTAATTTAGACTAAAATATAGAGAGAACGTCAGGTAGTTCTCTGACATGGCAACATTGTCATTGTCATGTTTATTATCCAAAGTCCAAAATGATGTTACCCAAAGCCTCGAAGCTATTTATTAAAAAAGTGTTTTATTTTGAATAAGTTTCATACTTTTGATTTAGGTTGTAATATTGTTTATATTATTTTTATTCTTGTAATTGACATAATTTACTTTTAATAACTTTAATTCTTAATTAGGAAAGTCTGTGCGATATTAAAATAAGAAATTCGCGGTCCGTAAAGTACGTTTTTATTATCTTATAATCAGTCAGAATTCGTATTTTTATATTTATCTGCAGTTTTCTTTTATTAAGCAATAAGAAAATGTTAATATTTGATAACTTGTGAATAATTAAGTAGGAAAATGAGTATGAAACAATTAATATGTCGACTGTGCTATGGTCGCACATTACTGGCGAACATCTCTAAGAGCAGTAGTCGGTGCATGGCGTCGCAGTCACGCGACACCGACACTCCGCTAAAAAAACTGCTGGACAACGCCAGTAGCTTCGGTGAAGCGCAGCCGTCGGACGCCGAGCTGCAGTGGGCGACGGAGCCGTACGCGGCGCGGCCAGACTCCGCCGACGGGGACGGAGAGAGAGAGAGAGTGCTGCCTCACGAGACCACGGTCCTATTGTTTCCCGGACAAGGATCACAGCATGTCGGCATGGGCCGGCTTCTCGCAAACATACCTGCTGCTAAAGAATTATATGAATTGGCATCCAGCGTCGTCGGGTATGGTGCACAACAACTACAATACTACTAATACTAACTACAAATTACAATTAGTAATTGTTTTAAATAGATTTAAAATAGTTTGCATGGTAATTATTATGGGCACATATGAAATGGAATCGAACGGGATCAAAGGAGGTTTTCAAAAATGATGAATTGGTTTTGTAGTTTTCAGTAAAAAAGTTTATTTAATTGGCCATTTTTAAATAGAATCTTTTTTCTTGCCATTCTGTATTGTAATTTATTTTCAATTATGTAGATGCCTCATAGTGGGGGCTTTCATATATTGAAAGGGGAGCGATAGTTTTTCTTAACATTTACAAAAAAAAATCCTACAGTAATAGTAATGTACATTATGATTTCACCGACCTATCTCGCCACCGCCTTTGAATTTTGAAAATTAAACACTGACATGGATAGGCTGTATGGAGCTGTAATTTTAATTAAACAGAGATTAAGTGTATAGCGGTTTCTATGTCGATTGTCGCATGCCTAATCCTTGTTGTTAATTAAATATAAGTAAATCAATATTTATTTAAAAGAGCAGCACACAGTCTGCATTCCAAATAAGCGATAGAATAAAAAAACTTGACTATTCAAAAGTGTTTATATTAAGTTTATTTGAATAAAGGAAAAAAAAATTCGAATATTAGAGAGAGTAGAGTCTCTTTCGAGGAGTAGAGTTTTTTTTAAGTCCTCACAGAATCTACTAATACTAATAGTGAGCCCGACCGATACGTATTCTGAAAACGATTGGCGAATAATCGCGGGCGGCGGTCGCAGGTGGGACGTTTGGCGCGTGTGCACGGAGGGCCCGGCGGAGGAGCTGGACCGGCGCTGCCAGACGGCGGTGCTGGTGACGTCGCTGGCGGCGCTGGAGCGCGTGCGCGAGGAGCGGCCGACCGCGCTGCGGCGCGTGCGCGCGGCGGCCGGCTTCTCGCTGGGAGAGATCTCCGCGCTGGTGTTCGCGGGCGCGCTGCCGCTGGAGCCCGCGCTGCGGCTCGTGGAGCTGCGCGCGGCGGCCATGGCGGCGGCGGCGCGCGCGCGTCCCGGCGGCATGCTCACCGTGTGGCTCGCGCCCGACGCGCAGCTGCCGCGCGCGCTGCGGCTCGCGCGCGAACACGCCGCCGAGCGCGGGGTCGTCGACCCCGTGTGCCAGGTCGCCAACTACCTCTACCCCAACTGCAAGGTCGTCGCCGGCGACGAGGAGGTCAGCATCGCACGTCACTCCTACGATCGTATCGTGCGATCGCCTATTTCTCATAGTAAATATATTTTTATCCTGCACTGGATGTGTATATACCTACCTAGGACTCGAATGAGCGTCGTCGCCGAGTGGTTCACACTACCTTGACTTGGCACGTCTCAGCCGTGACCGCGATATCGTCAGCAAATCGAAGGTGATCGATGTACTCGCCGTCAATGTAGACGCCCAGCCCGCTCCAGTCCAGATGGCAGCTTTGGCGAAATAACATCGCCTTGGCTGACACATCGTTACAGTTGGATAGGCTTCGAATTCTTACCGTGGAGACGAACTGACATAGTGCCGTTTCGTATAGACATTTTTTAGCTTCGTCATATCGATAGTCAATTTGGCACCGCTTGGAGAGACTGTAATACCGCCCACGTGTCGATCGCTAAGCAAATTGACAGGTTGTATTCTTCGGTCTTCTGAATTACCTCACGCAGCGTAAGAATGATTTCTATGGTACTGAAGCCTTGTTGGAACCCGGCTTGTTCGGGAGACTGGAAGTCGTCAAACCTGCGAGCGAGATGATTCGTGATAACCCTCGAAAACAACTGTTAAATATGGCTTAGCAGTATTATGGATCTGAAATTCTTCAGAAGCAATTTGTAACCCTTGTTTATGAACAGAACCACACCCCCTTTGCCACGGTTTAGGCATTCTGCCCTCGAGGATGACGGAGTTGAAAAGGTTCTAAAGGATTCGTAGAATAGTCTATCTCCAGCCCTCAGAACTTCAGTGATGACTCCATTATCACCCGGCGCCATGTTGTTTTTAAGTTGTTTAAGAGCCATAGTAAACTCACTAGCACAGGCTGACGTCTGATATATTTTCGGTATAGTGTCGGGTTAATTTGGCTCTAGATTCCTTCGCCGTGTTGGTAACAGGTGCCCGTGTTGTCGTGTATAACTGTTATAGAACTTCTCAATTTGCCTCGAAAAGTTTAGACGATACAATCCTGCCGTTATTCGTTTTAACCCGCGTCCCCTGGCTCTGTCCGGCTGCCAGATCCCTGTTAAAGATTTTTAGTTCTTGTTTTTGCAGTACTGACAGTTTCCACGAACCTGTTGTTGTCGTCCACGTCCACGCACTCACCAAGGCATTCGCAAGCGGTTTAGCAATTCTAGCCGGATGGATCAGTATGGGTGTAGGGCGGAGAGTAGATTTTATTTATCCGCAGCAGCCGCAGCCGCCCGCCATTCCGGAAGCAGATTGTCGGATTTCAGGACTCCTTTCGAGAGTCCTTTCGCTTTCTTCGGAATTCAGATAATCTCACGACATGCCAGTGCCGTCTGCTCAACTCTTCCTCCGGTGCTCTTCATCGGTTCGCAGTGTTCGGACGTCGTCGTCGGGGCCGGTGGACGTCGATTGTGGTAGCTCAGTCGCATGACCTCAGTCTGATGCCCTTTCCATGACCGGTCGAGATGAGCGGGGCCGCCGGGGACCGGAGGGCGGGGTCGCGGGTGTAGATGTATCGTATCCGTTATATGATGCGAGCGGCGTGCGCAGGCGCTGGCGTGGGTGGAGCGGCGCGGCGCGGCGCTGGGCGTGCGGCGCGCGGCGCGCGTGCGCGTGGCGGGCGCGTACCACACGGCGCTGATGGCGCCGGCGGCGGCGGCGCTGGCCGCGGCGCTGGGCGGCGTGGCGGCGGCGCGGCCGCGCGTGGCGGTGGTGGGCGGCGCGGAGGCGCGGCCGTACGGGGACGCGGCGCACGTGCGGCGCGGCGTGGCGCGGCACGTGGCGGCGCCGCTGCGCTGGCAGCAGGCGCTGCAGGCGCTGTACGCGCGGCCGCGCGGCGCCTCGTTCCCGCTGACGCTGGCGCTGGGCCCGGGCCGCGCGCTGCGCTCCACGCTGCGGCAGGTCAACGCCCGCGCCTGGGACGCCTCGCTGCAGATAGACGTCTAGCGCTCCTAATAAACTCCGTACCGCCCCTCGCACCTTCTTATTCGAATTAAATCAGAATATCTCCTAGGTCCATTGCAGATTCTTATGATATGTCTAATCTACCGTCGGTTCATAAAGGTTTCGAGATGAAAAGAATTGACAAGAAACTCAGCTCATATAGTTGTAGATATTTACGATAATAGAGATACATCATTAAAATTTCGGAAAATACGTTGACCACCAGCATATGTATAATAATGTATATAATATATAAGCAGTCTAATCGGTGTTCGTAACCCGAACATACCAATCCTCACATGCAGTACCCGTTCACGAATATAGCGAATGAGCCAGCCATCATTGCACTCGACCATGTTACATCGACACTCCAACACATTGAGCTGGCCACAAATTTAAACTTTATAGCGAGCATGACTGCTGTCTGCTGCTGTCAGTGGCTTAGTATATTTTTATATTGATTAAATATGTGTATATAGTTTTAGTTTTCTTTTAATAAATAGATAAATGATAATTATTGTTTATTTTCTATGTACCCATCTTGTTATTTTTATATTCTCATTCCAGTTTTTTAGTCACTCTTCGCAACTCTAGTACAAGTATCTCGCATTTTTTCTACATTCCGTCTATATATATAGTAACTTTTATGGTATTAAATTAAAATCCAACTTTCAGTTTTTTAAACAGCTATTGTAAGTTGTGTACGAAGCACTAATTATGATGGACTACTTAGGCTTTGATGCCGGCTACCGGAAGAGAAACCCCAAGTATTGCCCGTGACTTGTGACACGGGTGTAGGTTTAAAAGGCCCTTTTAGAGTGCATTAACACTCATCTTCACTACGTGCAGCTTCCCCCCAGGCCCAACTAAGACCGGGATAAACCCATTTCTAATACAATTCACTTTAGTATCCAAAATACAACCGGCACGCTCTGAGCTCGTCGACTGAATGCCGCGGCTCACCCAACGAAATTCAACTACCGACCTCCGTATTTATAGATCGAAGTCAGTGTAGTAGGTCGGTCTATAAATACTGGATGGCGCTATTTACAATATTTGTAATAATCTTTACATTCTGTTTTAAAATGGTTTACTGCTAATAATATGGTATTAAATGGAGATAAAACAAAGTGTATTAAATGTACAATGTTGATGAAATATCGTACTGAACAATAAACTTATTAACTTTGTTGATGATACTGTATTGATGGGGTGCTCATATTTCTAAATTGGCGAATAGACTTAGTTCTGCCGCTTATGCGGTAAGAATAATTAGACAATTAGCAGACGTGGCAACGTGGCATATTTTCATAGCATTATGTCGTACGGTATTTTATTATCAGTTTTAAAAAAGTAGGTGATTACACTAATAAAAGCTTACGTAATGTCAACAAACTAGTTTCACCTAAGTGCCGTTTGACGAAAGTCAGTAATTCGTTTCATGGAAATTGCGTAAGGTTTTACAACAAACTCGAGTCTGTAGTCAATTTGTCAGAAAAAAATTCAAAAGTGTCATAAAATGTTTTCTTTGTAAAAAAGCTTATTATAAAATTGAAGAATTTATTAATAATAATAATGTTTTGTAGAAAATATCTAACTTGAAATTCATAGCGCTGACAATGTTATCTGATTAAACAGATATTAAGTGCGTAACGGTTTCTATGTCGATTATCGCATGCCTAATCCTTGTTGCTAGTTAAATATATATGAATCAATATTTATTTAAAAGAGCAACACATAAGTTTCGTTTTTTATTCTTCTTGTGATGAATCTGCATTCCGAATAAGCGGTAGAATATAAAACTTGACTATTCAAAAGTGTTTATATTAAGTTTATTTCAATAAAGGTTATTTCAATTTCTATTGGATACTTCATTAGTACTAAACACAAACTATTTTCTTTTAATATCATTTTAGAATATCGAATTTTTCTACAATATTGATGTGTTGTATGTTAAGAAATACGACATCATGCGAAAGAAGGTGGACTTTGCACAAAGTCTGCGCTGGTATCAAAGTAGCACGTACTTATATCTCCAAGCTTTTTGCTATGTAAATTTATATTCGGTAGAAGAGTGCGAAATGGCAACGAATTAATAGGCTATTGAGGCGTATATCTTAGTTCCCTCGATAGTCGGTATCGTGGTCAAATGCAGTCAGCTGCAGCTCGCTTGTCATACCATAAGTTTAAGTACCGTTCTTATTAATAATAGTAGTGACTTTTATTCAGTTCCATTAAAGTAATGATGACGACGACTATTTATTTATTTATTTGCGTAACCTATTGATTACATTGTTATTACAAATTAATTTACAGTTCCATATTGAGCTGCATTTTGAGCATGCAAATTTAAATTCATGTTAATAGAACTTGTTAAATGTTAACAACTAGGTAATTGTCATAATTATTTATATTGTTAAATGTCCAAAATATAATTAAGTAATAATATGTATGTCCAAAATTAAAATTAAATGTAATAATAACAATTTATATCATTTATAGGTTATAATCAGTGTTTGAAGTCGAGCTTCTTGTATTCAGCGCTGAGGATATGTTGTAGTAGTCGATCCTCGTTGAAAATACTCCTGCATATTGTAAAAGCATTTATCTATTAACCATTTCTTAAATGATAACTTAAAGGGCTTCATAGATAGTTCTTTAAATTTTGGTATATTATTGTATATTTTTGCCACCAATACGTAACAATTTTTTTCATATACTTAATGTACTTCTACGTTGCGGCAACAGTAATCGTGTTGTATTTCTAGGTTTATGCCTGCAATTGATATCCGCCGTAGCATACAATTCTTGATGACCCTTAACGAAAATTCCAGCCTCTAGTACATTGAAGCTAAAGTATCTTCAATTTTCTAAAAAGTGCTCTACATGACTCTAATGGATCTGCTCCACAAATGGCCCTAATGCATTTTTTTTTGTTATAAAAGCTTTTGTCACATCTGTGGAATTTCCCCATAACAAAAGTTCGTACTTGAGGACTGAACTTATATAATCGTGGCATGCAGTAAGAGTTGTGTATTCGCTGGATACCAGTCTTAACTTCCTTAAAGCGAAAATAAATTTATTTAGTCTTTTGCATATTTTATATTATTGAATGGTAGAAATGTTAATAATTAAGAATAGTTACTCTGAAGGACGGTCGTAGGTCTGATGTATGCTATTTCGAACCAAAATAGACAATATAGTTTGTTGGCTATTTAAGCATTGCATTCATCACTATGCGCGGTGTGATAATATTTTTAAGCACATCTTTTGGAATAACAGTGGACAGTATCAGGTCATAGTTTATTCGCTCCCAGGGTGGTCGTCTCGCTCGTCCGCGTCGCGGAGCGTTCGTAGAAGGATGGAACGTCGTCGATTCGCGTCACAGACTGCGACGGGGCGGGGCGGGAGGCGGGGGCGTGCGAAATGAAACCGCCGGGCGACTATAAATAATTTACTATATCAAAAATAAATATCTAGCGGCGGCGGCGGCGGCGGCGGCGGCGGCGGCGGCGGCGGCGGCGGTCAGATGCCGAGCGGGTTGGCGGTGGGCTGTCCGCCGGCGGCCGCCACGTCCGCCCCGAGCCGCGAGAGGCGCTCGTGCCTGGCGGCCGGCGCGGCGTCCCGCGCGGCCGACAGCAGGCGCGGCTGGCGGGCCAGCGCGCGCTCCGCCCACGCCTCGGCCAGCCGCAGCTCGTGGTCGGCGGCCGGCAGCGACAGCCGCGCGGCGCGGGACGCGCGCGAGATGGCCGCCACCGACGTGTACGAGTCGACGGCCGCGGCCGCCAGCCGGTTGAGCAGGAACTGCCGGTCGACGACGGCGCGGCCGTGGCGGCGCAGCGCGGCCTCCACGCAGGCGCCGAACTCGGCGGCGCCGCGCGCCAGCTCGGCGGCGGCGGGCCGCAGCGCGGGCGCCACGTGCGGCGCCAGGTCGGGCCCGCGCGCCAGCCCCACGGCGGCGGTGGCGCGGCGGCCCGCCTCGCTGAAGATCAGTCCCAGGTTCGCGGTCGGGTTCTTGAACGCGCGCTGCAGCTCCTGCAGGTGCGAGCCCGCGAACTGGATGCCTGCGGAGACCGAACGATACCGATACCGATGAGTTCGATTCCCTTCCGAAATCGACATAGAAATGAGCCTACGATTACCTAGTTCACTTGTTTTAAACGGGCAATTATTTACTAAACTACATTAATATTTACAAACACTGCCAGTGATTAAAAACGATTAATACATCTAGAGAGTATGATATATTAATGACAATATAATACTTTACAAAAAAAATCTTTCAATTTTTTATTACTACGATTGAACTGATTTATATAAATTTAAACGTAACCGAACAAAGAGAAATATTAACAGTAAACAATAATTTACTTCACTTATATACAAAACATATCAATATCAATGTTCGTGTTCGAAGTAAACGCCTCCATCGAGGCGACCTATAGACATAAAGTCCCTACATCCATAATCGAGACACCCAATACTTAAATTTCATAAAGACACGATCTCGTAACACCACAGGATATGCCGGGCGATGGTCACTCACCGGTGAGCGCGACGAAGAGTCGCAGGATGTCGTTGGTGCCCTCGAAGATGCGGAAGATCCTTAAGTCGCGTAGCACGCGCTCGAGGCCGGTGGCCTTCATGTAGCCCATGCCGCCCAGGATCTGGATGGCCTCGTCCACCACCGTCCACGCAGAGTCCGACGCGAACACCTGCGGCCCGGCACACAACAATATTGTACACATTTGAAAGCAATCACGATCTAGTCTAATATCAGTTATTTCTCAAATATTGGTCAAGATTATCATCTGTTCCCTTTAAAATGATAATAATTTAATTAATTTACGTGCTAACAACACTATATGTTTGTATTTAATACGTATACAAGTACTATAATATAATATGTCAATCAAAAATACTAAACGGTGTCGAAAACATGTTAGCGAAGGTTTCGCTTTTCAATCTACTTTTGTAATCGTATCTGACTTTCACTGGCCCAGTTACTGGATCACGCTAGAAGTTCGCCGACGGCCTGCGGTCGACTCGGACGGGCGTACCTTGGAGATGGCGGCCTCGAGGTGGTAGTCCTTGCAGCCGGAGTCCATGTTGCCGCTGACCATGTAGGCGAGCGACTCGGTGACGTACTGCAGCGTGGCCATGCGCGCGAGCTTCTCCCGGACGCCGCCGAACTCGACGAGCCTCCGGCCGAACTGCGTCCTGGTGGCTGCGTGCTCGGCGGCCTGGCGCAGGGCGGCGCGCTGGGTGCCGGCGAGGGCGGCGGCCATGCCGAAGCGTCCGTTGTTGAGGATGTTCATGGCGACCTTGAACCCGTTGCCGAGCCCGCCCAGCACGCAGCGCGCCGGCACGCGCACGTCCTCGAAGTACACCTCGGCCGTGTTGGAGCACTTGATGCCCATCTTGTTCTCGGGCGGGCCCGACGACACGCCGCCGAACGACCGCTCCACCACGAACGCCGTCACCTGCCGCCACGGGGCCGCACGTCACTTCTCTATCGCATATACCCACCCCTGTGACACGCTACTCTCATAACGCATTTTCAATATACATGTACATATATAACAGAGTTTTCATCATTCCCCCACATAACGCGAGAATTTCACACATTATATATCTGAACTCTGACATTTATAGTGATTTGTACGATTCATAATTAGTCTTTTAGTTCATATGCATATATTTCTATCATTTTTCTTAACATTCAAATCCAAAGGGGATTTGAATGTTAAGAAAAATGATACAACAAGAAAAGTTGAGGGTGAATAATTTATACACTATCGTACATTTACACAATTACAATTTATACAGTGCGTCGTAGGAGTATTTCCGTATAACTATACGGAAATACTCCTACGACGCGATTACCTATAACATGAAACCAATCTACTATTTAGAATTATTATAATTAAGTATGACTCCACTAATCTTTACGTAGTACACAATGAAATCGCTTCCGCTGTCTTACATCTTTTAAACTACGCAACGAAGTTTAATGCAATTTTTAGCGATAAATTGAGTGATTCGAGAGGAAGGATATTATTCACATATATAATACATGTACGGCCGTGCGAAGCCAGGGCAAGTCTCTCTCTCTCTCTAGCCATCACATATTCCCAGTTCATCTGGGGTAGAATCTCTAATTATAAATAAATGTCGTTTACCCCAAAGAATATGGTAAATAAAAATAGTTTTACATCGAAGCTGAAAGCAATAAGCTTAGTAAATGCGCGCTGCGCATGCGCTCCTCAGTACAAAATGTCATCGGAGCAACCACAACAGCGACGTGTAAGGAGTCATACTTTGTCGACGGTCTTCCCGTCCTTCTCAATGGGCGTCTGCGCGAACACGGTCATGATCTCTGCGATGCCACCGTTGCTGATCCAGATCTTGGAGCCGTTCAGTATGAAGTGGTCGCCGTCCGGGGAGAGTACGGCGCGCGTCCTACAAACAAACCACACCATATCATAAGAGAAATATTTTCAGAGTGCAAAATATATAACATATACACAGTCTCGGTGGTCTATTGGTTTAGGATGGATGAATGGTCGCGGGTTCGATTCTTTGTACAGTGCAAACAATTGTATTCATGAGTATGATTGTTTGTATCTGTCCGTTGTAGGTTTTTGAACATTCTAGATATTCTTTATATTCTAAATATGGTTTCAGTGGGGTTGTATCCTCAGGGCCCTGGGCTGCAGCCTAAAGAGCCCTTAGGTAGATCCGCCTCGAGTCGGTTGACCTACATTCCATTATCGTATATTAAAAGAAAAGTACCCATGTTGCTATAAAGACGCAGTTTGTGGATGCAGGGAAGATACTCGATTCATAACAAATAATTACTAATCATTTGGCAATAATTGGACAATATCAGTTTAGTTGATTAATTAGTTCATGAGAGGTAGGCGTCTGATTATTTGGGTTCTATAAATGGAATTCGTGTCATTAATTCGCGTTCTAATACAAGCACACCCGTGTGGCTTATCACGTAACGCACTGATTATATATAATCGTGTCTGCTGCCTACTGATAACGGTAATCTGTAAAAACAACGTCAACAACGTACCCTACAGTCACAACATGCCGAGTTGATAGATAACGGACAGCCCTTGTAGAGGCACTCACTTGATGGAGCCGGCGTCGGAGCCCGAGGAGGGCTCGGTGAGGCAGAAGGCGGCGTACTCCCCGGAGGTGACGCGCGGCAGGTACTGCGCCTTCTGCTCGGGCGTGCCGAACAACAGGATGCCCTTGAAGCCGATGGACTGGTGCGCGCCCAGCGTGATGCCCACGCCCAGGTCGTGCGCGCCCACCACCTGCGCCACACCCCTCATGCTCATCACGCTCACCACAAACATTTATTCAAATTCATTTTAGCCGCTTATGAATGTATTATAATTTTTTCCCTACCGTCCAGTTCGGTATATATGTAGATCCAATTGAGAAGAACTGGCAAGAAACTCAATTAAATTACTTTTTTTGTAAAGCCAGTATATTTACTATGTATATTTATATAGGTGTCTATGTCTAACATTAAATGAACATCCCGTGCAGGAACAACTATTGCCATGCACGCTCGTCATTCAAATAATGTTTAGTGAGTCATAGCTTAGTAAATATGATTAACAGATGTTTTTTATTTATTTAAGGGTAATTTACTACCTACTACTATTGCTGCTCCACCGCCGACACAAATCCTAAACTACTCTACTCATAGTTAAGTCTAACAATGAATGATGAGTCTGCGTTCCGAATGAGTGGTAGAATAAAAAAAATGTGACTATTGAAAAGTGCTCATATTAAGTTTATTTGAATAAAGACTTCCTATTCACAAATGTAGAAATTATCAACTAATTGTATTTCAATATAACACTTGTATAAAGCCAGCAAAGTTTGTAAAATATCAAGCGTATATCAAAATTAGATAATATAATAATAAGGGCAGAAGGCCGAAAAAGAGATGGACTGTGTGAAAGATGGCATGGTAAGAAGGAGTAATAACGTGATGACTGCGAACAGGGACAAGAAAAACATGTTACGAAGCGGAGGATGATGACCAAAATTAGATATATTAGATCTGAGAGATATATTAGATATTTTCGAAGAAATCAACAGAGGAATTGCTGCACGTGCCCGATTTTGCATGACATATACCTATTAGAGATGTAGGAGTGTAAACAAACTTAGACTATGTGTGTTTGGTCGGTGTGTACCTCCACTAGGCGCGCGTACTGCGTGTTGTTGAGGCCGAGCCCCCCGAGGTCGGTGGGGACCTGCAGCCCGAAGGCGCCGAGGTCCCACAGCCCCGACAGCGTGCCCTGCTCGATCTGAGCGTCCGCGTCATTCTTCGCCGGGTCGTTCACCTGCGAACGAACATGAACATGCGCTACTTGCTAAACTTCAGTGTCTCGTCTTACCGTTACCAAAATACACTAAATTATATAATGTGATAAAATATATTTATATACGAGTACAAACTGTCCATAGTTGTACAAAAATGTAGAGGACTGTCCCTCGCCTGTGCAAGACGTATCTTATCACATGTTTTAGGTACATCGATTAATATAATGACTCTGGGTTTGATTTTAAACAAAAATAAACGTCAGTTTGAGACAAATAATTTAACACGTTAGGGATATTATATATATGGTACCCGGCCGATCGAGTTTTGCTCGCGTCTATTAATGAGTGGTACGTTCATCACGGTAATTCCCGAATGAACATGTACAATATATAACTAGGTATATATGTTATAGTAAACTGTAATGTATCAATATAGGGTATATGTTAATATGTACTTGACATGGCCACTGTCAACAGTTTTGTTGGGATGCTTCCAAGGAATTGGCATGAGGTCAACTGAGCTGTTGCATTGACCTACAATTAACGGGATCAATGTATGTATCAGTCGCGTACGGAATTGGTTTATAGTACACACTCCAACAATGGTAAGTATGTGAGTACACATACACTCTCTTATAAAAATGATAATAATAATATTTATACGAGAGTAACCTAACATTACCCTGATATTCAATAGATTTAAAAGTACAAAACGCAAACCTCTTCGAAGAACTTTTCAACAGGCGGCACCAGCTCCTGCAAGGTCTGTCGCTGGTCCTCCGACAAGGGTTCAGGGAAAGGGAACACCTGCGCAGTCTCGAGTCGTCCGCGGAACAGGTTCAGTGTGTAGGAGCCGCTCTGCTGCGCACCGCGCCGCTCGCCCGCAGCCGGGGCCTCCGACGACGCACTGCGAGCACTGACACACACGGCCATACATATCATTACAGTTATATCATACAACAGCCAGGCAGACTGCATGACAGGAGGATATGGGCCTAACACTGGCCAGCTCGCAGCCTGTTATGTGATGTGGTTTTAAGTTATCATTCCCATCTCTTCCTGTACAATGTGAATGTATTGTAGTGTACGGCTACTTTGTAACCACATGGGAAAGTCACCGAGAGACAATTACCAGCATGAACAAAAATGCCATCAAAAGTCCATCAGATAAAATAAGACTCCTGCAGTGCATGTGACACAGAGTATCATAGATACTAATGAGTGAGAATAATAGTACAACTTACTAATGACAATATTATAAGAGGATACAACTGAATATTTAATGATATAAGACGGCTTACAGCACAAGATTAGCTTCTAAAACATGTACATGAATTGGACGGATTAATTAAATAAATTACTGTATTAATTTTGACAAGAAACACAGATATGGTGTCAATATTTGTACTATCTGTTAAAATTAATATGTAATTAAATGATTGTAATCCACATATCTAATCATAATTTAAGTATTCAAACTAAATGCGGGCTCATTCAATAAGCCTCTCGCTGTTATTAGCATAGTTTTGAAAGTATGCTAAGAAATGAAAGTATATATAATTGCTAAAATGTGACAGCTATACTAATGTGATGTATGTTGGTTTCTATTTTCTAGATTTAACCTCTCATCTGGGCCGTTGTGAGGGCCGGTATACTAATATAAATTCAAACTAAATTAATTTTAGCATAACAAAAAGTAACTTAAACAATGTCAGTCAGAAACATTATATACTTATGTAAGTTATAAAAAAACTTACAAAAGTAATTAAAACTAACTTATATAATGATGTAATCAATATGAGACCAAAACAGTAAAGTCTATGTATTCAGAAAAAATAATTTAATATTTAGCAAATATTCTGTACATACAGTGACAAACTTAAGTATAATAGAATAATAAGATATATATTTTGTGAATGTTATATGTTCATTATTCTGTCATTGCTGTACGGGACCATATTCAATTTGGTGATCAAGAACATGTCCCGCTATTTACATAAATTCTCAAACACGGGACATCAGAAAATATGTGGCTAAATTAAAATCAATCAAGAGTGATGTAAGATCCAAAGATATGGAAGATATAGTTTTAAAATGTTGCTTTTGCTGAATAACAAACATGTCATTCATGAGTTCTCCTAATTTGCTTACAAGACGAATCTCACATCTACTATATTTTTTAATTATAATTTGTGTCTGAAAACTGATACACAGTAGCACACTGAAAATTAATGTAAATATGTTCTACACATTGTTATCTCTTCTATTACCATAAAATATTGATCACCACTGTCTATGAATAATGCTATGCTGTTGTAAATATTTAGATTTGACTATTATCACCACAGCACTGAAGCACACAACAGTCAGAAATAGGATTTTATGTACAAATTGTAAATTTCTGTTAAGCTGGCCACATTAATTCACTGGAGATGCATTGTTTTTATTCCCTGTTAAAGTTTAAAAGCAAATTAATTATGCTGGCAATGTGCACTTCAAATATATCTCAAGTTGATCTGTTTTAAAAATAAAGCCAACAAGAAGAAAACCAATATTATTATAATATACTCATTTCTATAGAGAAGCCAATAACTCTGCCTTTAATAAATCTCACAATATTTCTGAAGTTACTATAGTCAGTAGTCTCCTTGGACTTTGTCCTACAACCTTTACATCACCTCCATATAAGTGAGTTTGGACGTAATTAATTACCTTCATTACATAGGGTGCAATACAAATACACTAGTGGTAATAAGGTGCGGTACAAAGTCCAAGGAGAGATCATGGAGAGAATATGTAACAGTACGAGGGCACTGGGGAAGGCAGACTAATCGTCTACTCACCTATAGAGGGGCAGCAACCTGCCCGATAAGCAGCGTTTCGCACAATTAATCAAATTTGTACCATTCATTTTTAACGTGTGCGTTTTTTAACTATTATTATTACATCAAACTTATCAAGAAACAACCAAAGTTACTTGGGGAATTGACTAGTTATTCATTGTAGACTTAATGGATAATGAATTAATAAATTACACTTTTAAGTAAATCTAAAACAGATCTATTTCTAATATATAAAATAAAATAAAACTCAAAAAGGGATATAAATTTTGTATGGTCTAAATAACCATGGTGAATGGTCAACAAACGACTGAGAGACTGAAGTAGAAATATAAAATTATTATTGGAACGAAGAACTTATGAAACCAAACAGAACTCCCACATTTAACGTGGTAATTGTCAAAGTCAACATTGTGATTGTCATTTTTGACGGCCGTCATATTTAACGTCGTCGTGACTGGGATCAAGTGAGATCTTCCTTACTACTTTTTGCCCCGGTACCAAAGAGTAAAGTAAATAAAATATACCAAAAGGAACCCGGCACCTTCCCAGGGGCAACTATTCCTGGGTTCAACGTCTTTCGGCTGATTTTCTTATGTATAAACGAAACTTAAATTTATGTATGTACTATTATATTATATGCTGCAACTATTATATCAAAATTGAATACCAGCGACACCATATTTTTCACATTTTGAGTAGGTTCACGTCTTTACAGTACATACTATGTTCCTTGGGTTTCATATCACGTTCTGAACCGACACTGACTCGTGTCGACGAGGCCCTTAAATTTAAAAATAAAGGCGGGGCGTAATTCCCGTTCGCCAATCGTGCGACTTTGCCGCATCAGGAAGTTGATAATGTGAGGCCACTCTTAGTTTTATTATGGTTTTATCCACAGATTAGACAGTTCAATCAGTCAGTCAGTGTACCGCCGTCAGTAACTCGGTAACGAAGTTATTGAAAGTACACAAACTCACAGATCAGAAGGACTATGTTTAGTGTATAAAATTTTGTGTTATTTGTTTTCTTTCAGTATATTTATTTTCTTAAATCATGTTAAGCCTTTTTATGTATATATTTGAAGTGAAAAAAGAATTATTAGTGGGATTTTCCATTACTTTAATATACATAACCTACTATCTTGTCGAGGCAGTCAAGGTAAAAATAATTATTTAACAACTATCAAATTTTATAGTTATTTGATTTTAATGTAAATCGTTATGATAGATATGTAATTTTTTTTTATACTAGGTATATATTGTCCTTTTGAACAGACTAACGTAAAGATATTAAAAAAGTAAAACAAAAGTTTCGATAGTTGCGATATTATCCATGACCTTGCTACGACTATTACTTTGTGGTGGTTGCATACACATTCGAGAATCAATTAAATATTGATCACTATGAATGCGCCAGCAGTTGACTATGCAACTATAATAAGTCTCTGTGATAGTAATTACTACTGGCCTCCAATTTTGAATTTAGAATACTGATTTGTTATACCCAATTTTTTAATTACCAAATAATCCATAAACTGGTCCTCCTCTCTTCTCTTCTGCGTGTTGTGTCCAACAGGGTCCATAATTAAATTTATAAATGTATACATAATATAAACCTACTGTAACATTATGGAATGTAATACATAAATAAATAAATGGACATACATTTGGTTTGCACTTACATTATATATAAATATAAGCAAGTAAGCTGTATATGTATCAGTATAAAGTTATCTTTTTATTTTTAATTATTTTATTGAATTATTTTTCATTATATGATCAATCATTCAATTAATAATAAGTTTCAGTAGAGTTTTGAACAAAATGTTCTTTTGCATTGTGTGTGATGTATGGGTTAAGAACTATACTTGTGGTTATTATCTGTTGTTTCACCGTTAGTATGACACCACTAGTGAGTCATTCTTGTTACTTACTTGAATTGCAATAACAGGTAATTAAGAAGTAAAGAATTGTATTAGGAAATCTATACATATAAATAAAATTGGAGTGTCTGTTTATAATATTGAAATAACCATTTTTTACTACATGCATATCAATATAAATATGGTACATACACCAAAATAACATTTTTTTACAATTTTTGTTTGTCCATCTGTTTGCCTGTTTGTTCCGGGTAATCTCTAAAATTGCTGGACTGATTTTGATGGGACCTTATTTGGCAGGTAACTGATGTAATAAGAAGTAATTTAGGCTACTTTAAAAAATAAAGTTAAATTCCACACAGATAAAGTCAAGCAAACTACTTCAAGTGAAGTTTAATGAATAGGCCTATATGTTAACAACAAATTTCATGGATTATAAAATACTTATCCTCTAATGAAAAGAAAATCTCCTCAGGATCTGCTCCAATCAAATCCAATTATTATATAACAAATGGGTCACTGGACAATTGGAACATTTTTTATCTAAATTCCAGTCTTATTTAGCTTAAATGTCTTTTAAATGATAAGGCTGAATCAGCTTTCATAACATAGAACATTTTTTTATGTACTTAGCAGAGATATTGCAATATCTCATTATTATTTCTTCACTTTTTTATTGGATTCTCTGTAATCTGGTTCATTAGACCGGCTTCATCATTTGAAGGACGATTTAAGATAAATAAGACTGGACTGTTGTTTAAAAACAATCAGATTTTAAATAGAAGCACCATAGAAAAGGAAAACCTAAAAATACCTAGAAGTGATAAGAAACCACTTACATTCTCTAGTTTCAATACTGATTCATCAAATTAATTTTTAGCTGGACTTTAAAATATCTTGGTTTCTGAGTGTTTACTCAATATTTGGATAGCATAATTGATTTTGATTTTGTACTTTGCATATTACAGGGTTAACAGGGTTAGTTCTAAGTATTTAGCAAGCCAATAGCCATTTATAGATCAGATAAAGAAGCGTGCTAAAGTAACTGAAACAAATATTTCTGAAAAAAAAAATGAAAATTTCATCATCAATTCAAATTAAAAAATTATTGATTCATGTAGGACATTTTAGCCGGTTATCAACGTCAATTATTTTATATTATAATTTTTCCTCTACCGTCATGGATACATGGATGGGTTTACCGCATGGTGTTAATTCCGCCAAATATACTCTGTGCATTAAAGTTACATCAATTAATAAATGATGGAGTCATCCAGGGGTTGTACAGGGCAGGTTAGCAGGAGCGCCTTCGTCTCTCACAAGGGAGAATGCGTATGCACTACGGAAATAATAATGAAATAGAAATTGAAATAATCTTTATTCAAATAAACTTAATATAAGCACTTTTGAAGTGTCACTTGTCAAGTTTTTTTATTCTACCGCTTATTCGGAATGCAGATTCATCACAAGAAGAATAAGCAAGAAACTTGTGTGTTGTCTTTTAAATAAATATTGATTCACATATATTTAACTAGCAACAAGGATTAGGCATGCGACAATCAACATAGAAACCGCTACGCACTTAATCTCTGTTCAATCAGATAACATTGTCAGCGCTATGAATTTTAAGTTAGATATTTTCTACAAAAACATTATTATCATTTATAAATTCTTCAATTTTATAATATGCTTTTTTAAAAAGAAAATATTTTATAATACTTTTGATTTTTTTTCTTGCATATTGGGTACAGTCTCTGGCAGTTTGTTGTAAAACCTTACGCAATTTCCATAAAACGAATTACTGACTTTCGTCAAACGGCACTTAGGTAAAACTAGTTTGTTGACATTACGTAAGCTTTTATTAGTGTAATCTCCTGCTTTTTTAAAACTGTTAATGTTTTTCCTGGCATACATAATATTTTCGTAGATGTATTGAGAAGCAACGGTGAGGATATTTGAGTCTAAAACATTCACGCAAAGACTCCCTGGAACCCATACCGTAAATGGAGCGGATGGCCCTCTTTTGCAAAATAAATACTGTATTTATATCAGCTGCTTTGCCCCATAATAAAATACCGTACGACATAATGCTATGAAAATAGCTAAAATACACGAGTTTAGCCGTTGCCACGTCTGTTAATTGTCTAATTCTTCTTACCGCATAAGCGGCAGAACTAAGTCTATTCGCCAATTTAGAAATATGAGCACCCCATTGCAGTTTGGAGTCTAATGTGATACCAAGAAATACAGTATCATCAACAAAGTTAATAAGTTTATTGTTCAGTACGATTTTTGAATCAACCTTCCTTACATTGGGGAGCGTACATTTAATACACTTTGTTTTATCTCCATTTAATAGCATATTATTATTAGTAAACCATTTTAAAACAGAAGAGAGAGCACTGTTTACTTTTTTCATATCATCAATATGTCGATTGACTTTAAATGGTCAGAACCATCGTAGAGGTTGCCTGACCATACGACGGCTCGATACCTACTTGAGTTTACAGTTTGTAATATTGAAATAACCGTTTTTACTACATGCATATGAATATAAATACGGTATATAATATATAACGTTACTGGAGGCTAATGTCAGCCCTTGCTCTTTAACATTTAAATTTTCACATGTCAGCCCTTTTCATGTCATAAAAATATTCAAACAGTTAAATTTAAAAAATACGGAAGATCTCTGGGACATGTCAGTTAAAGTAGTTAATTCATTCATAGATATTGTTGCTCCTTATCTAGCTACTATTTTCAATAAATGTGTTGATAATGGCGTGTTTCCTCAATTAATGAAATTTAGCAAATTAATTCCACTCTTTAAATCTGGAGATAGATTTGAGCTAGGCAACTATAGACCAATTTCTATTTTGCCAGTTCTAAGTAAAGTATTTGAAAAGATTATGTTTAACCAATTGATAAACTACTTCCGGGATAACGGACTGCTTCACAGTCAGCAATATGGTTTCACTGCCGGAAAGTCTACTACTGATGCAGGTGTAGCGCTTATTACACATATATTCGAATCATGGGAAAACTCACAGGATGCTCTCGGCGTTTTTTGTGACTTGTCGAAGGCGTTTGATTGCGTAGATCATGAAACACTTTTGTACAAGCTCAAACATTATGGTATTAGAGATAATGACCTAAGTCTAATGAAAACTTATCTAGAGGATAGGGTGCAAACTGTAGATATTGATGGTGTAAAGTCTAAGGGAACTAATATAAAAATGGGCGTTCCTCAAGGTTCAATATTGGGTCCTTTCCTCTTTTTAATTTATATAAATGACCTTCCCTACATGGTAGAGAAAGTTGCAGATATAGTGTTATTTGCGGATGATACTTCGTTAGTGTTTAAAATTGGTCGCCAATGTAATCAATTAGACGATGTAAATTATGCTATCTCTGCTATACTAAATTGGTTCACATGTAATAATCTATTATTGAACTCCAACAAAACTAAGTGCATTAAATTCACGCTGCCTAATGTAAAACAAGTAAATACGCAGCTATTGCTTAATGATGAAATAGTAAATTTTGTTAATGATACAGTTTTTTTAGGAATAACAGTGGACTCGAAGTTACAATGGGGGCCCCATATTTCAAAATTAGCCAGTAGACTTAGTTCTGCTGCTTATGCAATTAGAAGGATAAGGCAATTAACAGACGTGGCGACGGCAAAACTTGTATATTTTAGTTAGTTCCATAGCATTATGTCATATGGCACACTGCTATGGGGTAAAGCTGCCGATATAAATACTATATTTATTTTACAAAGAGAGCCATACGTTCTATTTATGGTATGGGTTCTAGAGAGTCATTACGTCAATGCTTTAAACAATCAAATATCCTCACCGTTGCCTCACAGTACATTTATGAAAATATTATGTATACAAGGAAAAACTTAGATAGTTTCAAGAAACTTAAAGACTGTACAAGTAGAAACTTACGCAATAAAAATAGGCTAATTTTACCTAAATGCCGTCTACACAAAGTTAGTAATTCATTTTATGGTAATTGCGTAAGATTCTATAATAAACTGCCAGAGTCTACGCTAAATCTTACAGAGAGGCAATTCAAATCTTATATTAAACAAATGTTATGTAAAAAAGCCTATTATAAGATAGATGAATTTATAGATGATAGCAATATATAGCAAGAATAAGTTTATTTGCGGACAACGTTATAATTTTAATTTTCATACTGCTTTCTTGATATATGATAGCGTAGCGGCTTTTGTATTGATTGCCGCATGCACCCTTATGTAAAGTGCGAATACTGTAACTACCATATAGTAATTTTTGTAGCTGTGACGTGGTCGTGTGGAATGAGTAGTCATGCTCACTAAAATGTCCAGACATGTGGCGGCGTGGTGGGCCGGGTCATTGGGCTCCCTAAAATATGGTCGAGCGCAGTGATGGCTGGCTCATCCGTCATACTCGTGAACGAGTGCTGCTTGTAGGGACTGGTCTGCTCTTATCACTACGACTGATTTAATCTTATTGCATGACTATATTTGACCCAAAAAATTAGTGCTTGTTGGTAGTTTGTATTCACACGTTTCGACTTGTAAATGTAAACTTACAAGGATTATTTAAAAGAGCAACACACAAGTTTCTTGCTCGTTCTTCTTGTGATGAGACAGCTTTCCGAACGAGTGGTAGATAAAAAACAAATTGTTATGACTATTCAAAAGTGCTTAAATTAAGTTTATTTGAATAAATGATTTTCTATTCTATTCTATTCTATAAACCAAAATATTTTTTTTACAATATTTGTCTGTATGTCTGTCGGTCTGTTTGTTTGTTCCGGCTAATCTCTGAAATGTCTGGACCGATTTTGACCGGACTTTTATTGGCAGGTAGCTGATGTAATAAGGAGTAACTTAGGCTACTTTTATTCTAGAAACATTCTTTTAGTTTAGACAAATAAAGATAAATTCCACGCGAACGAAGTCGCGAGTACAGCTAGTATAAAATAATTTAGTAGGTAGGTATACGAAGAAGTGTTTGTACTGTGTGAGTATTCATAGTTTATAAGTAGTATCAAAAAGTGGTTTGAGTCCTAATTAAAGAAGTAGATATCGATACTCGTAGGTCGCATACCTACTCCTGACAATTGTAAGACGTACCTACTCAATTTACTATTAAGCGCGTACGTAAATATTGTCATAAAACATGCCCCTAGCTACCTATAGATAACAATGTAGATTTATGGTTCCGGAGATTTTGTAGTTACTTTGTGATCGGTGTTTTGTTTCATATACAGATATACATGATAATCATGTTAAAGCTATAAGTATATTACGGAGATAACGTATAATTGTGGAGTTATTTTAAAGTCCCAAATATCTAATCTATAAATGACTAATAATGTAGGTGTGTAACTGACGTAATAAACGAAATGACTGGCTCATATTTGCCAGGCACATAGCTGTGGAGGCCAGCCTCAGTCTAGAAGATGCCGGTTTTTACTAATAGGTACTAGTAGTCTCATTTCTGTCAAACCGATCTCCACGCTATCTCCCCTGGTAATCATCGAGACTCAACGCTGGTGAATTCTGCCGAATTCGTCTAATCGTCTTATAGTTCACTAGTTTCCCACTGGTGACATTGCATCTTGGCATCTTTAAATTTTATTATGCTGAAAAGATATTTTCTGATCTTCCTCTTTTCACTTACGGCTTAAACACGTTGCGGCCTGCGACCTGCGACATGTTGACAAGTATGCCGATTATTTGTGCCGGCAGCGCCTGATATATTATTATCTAGTAGGCAGTATTAGGTATTTCCTGATATCATTAAGGTACCATAAAAGGTAATATACCTGCTTAGAGTCTACGTCGGTAATAAATTATGACATACTACACATATTAAGATTATTTATTTGATTAGATTACGTTTTAGTTCTAAATGCAGCAAAAATATTTAATGATACACTACGATAAGCGTGTGCGATGTTCACTCGCAGATATGACCGGTCGGCATCAAACGGATAAGTTCAATTTCAGAAACCGATACTGATATGTCGTAAGGGCGACTTCCGACAATTCCTGGAGGAGAACGTGCCGCTGCTGGACGAGCACTACTGGCCGACGCCGTGGTGCGTGGAGTCGCGGCTGCAGACCGTGCTGGGGTCGGTGCTGCGGTCGCGGCTGCTGCCCGCGCAGCGCTACCGGCGCGAGGTGCTGCGGCTGTCGGACGGCGGGCAGGTGGCGCTCGACTGGGCGGAGCCCGGGCCCGCGGGCGGCGGCGCGGCGCCCGTGCTGCTCGTGCTGCCCGGGCTCACGGGCGGCGCGGACGCGGACTACGCGCGCTGCCTGGTGGCCGCCGCCGCCGCGCTGGGCGCGCGCTGCGTCGTGTTCAGCAACCGCGGGCTGGGCGGGCTGCCGCTCACCACGCCGCGCCTCTACTGCGCGCTCAGCCACGCCGACCTGGCCGAGGTGGTGCGGGCGCTGCGCGCGCGCGCCGACACGGGCCCGCTGCTGGCGGCCGGCGTGTCGCTGGGCGGGCTCATCCTGGGCCACTACCTGGCCGAGCACGGGGAGCGCGCCGCGCTGCAGGCCGCGCTGGTGGTCTCGTCGCCGCTGGACGTGGTGCGCGGCGCGGAGTGCATCGACCGGCCGCCGCTGAACGCGCTGCTCTCGTACCACATGGCGCGCAGCCTGCGCCGCACGGTGGACGCGCACCGCGTGCTGCGCGCCGCCGCGCTCGACTGGGACGCCGTGCACCGCAGCCGCTCCGTGCGCCAGTTCGACGCCGCCTTCACCACCAAGCACTTCGGGTTCGGCTCGGTGGAGGCGTACTACCGCGCGGCGTCGCTCGGCGACAAGCTGCAGCGCGTGCGCGTGCCGCTGCTGTGCCTGTGCGCGGCGGACGACCCGTTCCAGCCGCTGGCGGTGATGCCGCTGCGGGAGGCGGCGGCCAGCGCGCGCGTGGCGCTGGCGGTGACGGCGCGCGGCGGCCACATCGGGTTCCTGGAGGGCTGGTGGCCGGCCGGGCCGCCGCGCGCGCAGTACATCGCGCGGCTCGCCACGCAGTACTTCGCCGCGCTGCTGCGCCGCCCCGACCTGCAGCACGCCGCCACCTCCGCCTGACCCGCGCCCCCGCCCCCCTCCCGCCCCCGTCCCCTTCGCTCTCTCCTCGCTGTCGCCCGCCCCCGCGTGCCCTCTTGTACACCGTCGCTTTCTTCCTTCGTTCAAATCGATTCATGCGCAAAATATTCTCTCACACGTGTCGTCCATGTGACATAAACTATATGTGGGTCGATCCGCATATATTGTCTACTGCGATCCAATCCATTCCTACAGAACATTTCTTTGAGGCTAAACGTGTCCCACATTGTGTTATAACGTAGTATAATCTATAGTCTGTTTTTGTCATCTCAGAGACAAATTTGACATTACGATGTTGCCAGCTTCTTGCGATTATTAAGTAGTGTTGTGTCACTGTAGGAAATAAGTTTAATTTAGATTTAACTTTAAGTACCTATTTTTATAGGTGATTCAGAAATAATATGTTAGTGTTTTAATTAAAATTAATTAACACAATTTTCTAAATTACATTAATTCATTTTACTTACCTACTTCAATACCGTTAAAAAATACTACGAAACTACAATTGTAAACACTGGTATAGTTATGTAAATGTTTAAAATATATTGTGGAAACTACGTAGATAACTTTGAAACTAATCGTATAAAATGTAAAAATTACTATTTATAATTACAGCTTTGCCCCGCTATAGCTGGTAACATTATTTGATAATTTGACATTAACACCTGTCAATTTAGTGGCCGAGATTGAAAAAGAGACTATAGAGCAAAACCGACATAGTATTATAAATCACTGTGGCCTATAGCCTGTCACTATGGGCGGAGTGAGTTGAGTGAGAGCACGTCTCTACGCTCGCATCAACAATACAATGCAATTATTTTTACATTGAATCAGGTGGTGGTGCACTGCTACTTCGCTTATAGTTCAGGGCTTCCAACAACCGTGCGACGTCGCGTGTCGATGCGACCGAGACGAGACAGCGCCAGCGCCAGCGCCGGGCCCATTAACAATAGAGTTTTTCTGTTAACCTATTCTATTGTAGTAATAGAATTAGTATTTGTGTGGGCTGGGTTGAGGGACGTCGCAAAAAAATAGCAAAGTCCCAAGGGCGTCACAATACGAATAAGTTTGGGAAGCCCTGTTATAGTTAATATATGTATGTAGCTGTAGCTGTCTGTATACTGATTAATGATCTCGCTGTACGACCCACCTGAGATCAGGTACAACTTATACTTTAAGAAATTATTATTATTTATACGTTGTATACTTTATCTATTTACATACAATTGTGATATATAATGTAGTTAAATTGAATTGAAACGATGTCTAACATGTGAAAGGTGCTTGCACTGTAGTGCTCGCAGGTCCCTGCACAGGGACGGGCCCCGCACATGGATGGGCCCGGGGCGACTCCCAACGACGGGGCCCATATACTACATCTACTTACAATTTCATATTGTTTGTATGGAATCGGTGCAGTTTGAGGAAGTTCTATTCTCAAACCGACCACAGATTGTCTGGACGATGTCGCAGCCGGTCCTAACGGCCGTGATGGTGATGATGATGTGGTCCCTATGACGAGCAGTGATCACACGACCTGGTCTTTCCACCAGGACCAGCAGTGTGAGTGATCCTCGGAACATAAGGATGTTATTTTATGTGCAGGCATTTTGTTGACATATACATATAGTACGTACGTACATGTTATTGTAGAAATTGCGGTTAAACCACACGTTGAGTATTATTGTACGTGACATTTGAACGACGACCAGTAGTATGTATATCTTCCTTATATATAAAAATTACGTGTCAAGTTGTTTGTCCGCGATGGACTCCTAAACTACTGAACCGATTGCAAATTTGATTTGCACATTGTGTGCAATTTAAACCTACTTGAAAAATAGGATAGGATAGCTTACATCTCAATTTATAGTCGCAATATTATTTTTATATATTAAGAAACTGTTAGCCACAGCAACGCACGGCCGGGTCTGCTAGTATATATATAGATACTGATCTCCGTCGGTACATCGGAGGAATTAATGTTTAAATGTATATGAATTTTTGATATTTTATTTTTTTATAAACTTATTGATCTACATTCTATCATAATTTATATTAGGATTTACTTTATAAAAAATCTAACGCCAAACCGTAGAATTTTCGCTTTGTATAACCTTAGTAAAACTATTGCGTTGAAATCTTGCTCTGACTTGTGTGACCACGTCACCACGACTTTGGGGTCAGTCATGGTCAGGTCAGGTCATGATGAATACACGGCTACATCCTCCGATGTTGCTTTACTATTTCACTATTTAATTGATTAATTACACACATATGAATGTATATGACGTTTAAATTCTGTGGCCAGTCCAGTCCCTGATGTCTGGCACACGTGGCAGGACCGCCTGATTACCACCCATGGACATTGTATGATGGTATTCTTTAATAGACTCGTCCAATTCCAACAGGCTATTATATACACGATACATTGGAGATGATATATCTCTCGGGCCTATAAAAATATTAATTTTTATACTCGTAATTCGTACACCACTGTTGCCGAATTAAAATTAGTGAGTGATAGGTACAAAATCTTTTGTAGTAGCTATAGTTACTACTGATTTAGTCAATTTTATGATGAAGTGCGATCCGGAGCGACTTGCGTCGCGCGCCGTCGGTACGTCGCGTACGGCGGCGGCCACTCACGACGCCTCCCACCTCGCGCTGCCTACGAGTTCCGAATTCAACTCCATAGCTAGTGGACAAGTTACAATCACATATCGTTCTGGCCGTTTGTTTGTGGGGGGTGAGTTGTACCGAGCCGAGCCAATACGAACAGGTGTCGAATAAGTAGATGTTTGAAGCCGCACTGGGCCTCCCATTCTGTAAAGTTATTTCAAAATTTAGAGAACGACACTACATAATCGGCCCCAACTATTATTTAATTAATGCTAATTATTAAAAACTATTGTTGTTATATATTATAACGTTTCTATGATAACATTTATTTACAAATATATTTATAGTATATCTACATACATTGCTTGTAGGTATGTATTACATATAGGTATATTGTTTTGTTGTAACATTATGTTAATGATATCCAATATTCTATTGTGTTGTAAGAATTTCTTATATACTGTTATTATTGTTGTTGTCGCCACTGTCGTTGCTGTCCGTACGGGTGGGTACATATGGAAGTACCTACATTTGTACCCATGAAGTTCCAATAATGAAGTGTACACTAGACTACGGATATAAATCAGTGTCTCAGACGAACAGATACATTATTTATTAATTTGTAATAAAAAGGGTATAAGAACTCGTTATAAAAAGTACTGAAGATATGTGAAAACTTTTTCAGATCTAATAGTACAATTTAATTATGTATAAATAATAATACTATTATATGGAACATCTTACAGACAGCAACGATATGTTCGCGTTGTAAGTATATAATTCTCGTTAACTGACAAATTTTGAACGTACAAACGTGTGGGCCTTACACTCGTATGTAACATACTAATATATATTTTGTAAACAAAATAAAGTTGTTGTTTTGTTTCATGTTTAATATGTTGTTGATACAGTTATACTCGATTTTATGTAAGTGCAGATTCACAAAATTATCAACATTATTACATGTTTACTATAGTTTATGGTCCAGGTCCATACAGGACACCTGAGCATGTTGTTGTGCACCTCGGTGCAGTGTGGTGTGCAAAAAGCACACATTCACTTACAAGTGTGGTCCGCAACACTATGTCGATGTAATTAGGTACTATTATATATAATATAGCGTAGTTAGATTAAGATGCCAGGCATTTTTGTGTGATAATAGTATTTACCACAAATTGTGTGTAGAGTGACACTATTTGCTTTTTGTATTATTTCTAAGAATGCACGTTCGGGATGACAATTTTATATCCCGATTTTTATAGGCCTTAATGGATTACGTAAACGTTAATAATTGTTGATGTGACGAAACGCTTGTTGCTACGATTGGGACCGCTAATGATTTGTGTACAAGTAACGCAAATACAGTAATTACTCGGGAAATTCATGTTAATGAATACATTATGTGTAGTCAAAAGTAGAACTATAATAAATAAATAGAAAGGACAAGTATCGAGTTTGCGGCAGAATTGTAAACCGCGATCCCTAAGTCTGTCCTAATCGTAGTAATAGTGTACCATCGCATATATTTACGTTGAATAGATATGTGACTGCTGTGTGTATATGTCACATGTAAACATAACAAAGTTTAATAAATTAACGATAATAATGTTCGGAGCGCGGCTGCGTGTTCGCTCATGTTCGCACGTGTCCGCACGTGTCCGCACGTCGCCGCACGCAGTCGCTCACCTCCGCACCCAAGTGCCTCAAATGTGTTGAACGAATATATGCTATATATTATTTATGATAGGTATATACATTCCCGATGGCAGCGCCGCGCCCGCGCACACATGTTGTAATCGTCTGTAGTGGCCGAGTTGAGACTACGGCTATATCTAATGTAGCTACAGACAAATATAATGAGGAATCCGCAGGTCGACACGACACAAAACATGTTCTGCTCATATTCATCAGCACCATCCATATAAGCTTGCTTCTAACACATTGACTCTTTCACCTGACACAACACGATCCTACGGATTTCTCATTAGATCCTGTAGAGTTATTCTGTAAGCATCCCTTGTGAATTCGAAAGCGGAATCCGCGGTGAGATTGTACATAGGTTTTCTGTAAAACTCGATAGCGACTGCAGCGCCACACGCTCGAGAGTGAGGTAAAACAGGCAGTGATTTTTTAGAAATATAGGCAAACTTCTTAGTTCAGTAGGAACTTTGTATTTGCAAATGGATACGAGTGCCTTGAGTGAAATTAGTTGATAAAACGCTTACAGAATAACAAATCTGTACTCCATTCCATTTGGTGCATCTATGATGAGAATAGTCAAATTCCGTAAAGTGCGAATTAAAAATAAGTGTTTGATCGAATCGTATGTTTCATAGTATAATATAATAGCGAGGTGTGAGGTAGGTGCGGTGCGCGGGTGCAGCTCACAGGTGAATTATAATTAACATAATCGCACCAACAGTAGGCGCCGCTATTAATACGCTTTTAACAATTTTTAATATTTCCTATTAATGTTCTATTAATAAATATATTAAGACAATATGTAGGTACAGAATACAATAAATATTTAAACTTATACATGTTTTTAAAATACATTGTTATTTGTAATTAATGCAGATATATAAATTATAAGTAATTATTGTCCTCGAGTTACACTTAAGATGCTATATTTTATTTTTTTCCTGTAGTGTCGGATTGCAGTTTTATTTGCACGTTTAGAACACTTACATAGGTACGCGACGCCATTGAGGGACGTAGGGGCGGGTTTACCTTTAGCCAGAGTACACAACTACTGGTTTGTTAAAACTCTTCTATTGAACTATATATATAGTTTACATTACCTAGAGCACGTAATTTCATTTTATAGACGGTTTTAATTTTTAAGATGGAACACGTTTGTCTATGAAATAGTGGCGGTGGCGTCACGTGGGCCTTGTGAATGTTCTAGCGTTACACGACATCAAAGTACAGTTCTGACTTATGAGTTGGAAACACAACAATTGTTTGATTGTTATTGTCGTCTAATTTGATCTAATTATATAAAAAATAAATGCATGTTAACTGCATACAACTTGTTACATATTATAGGTATTTGATGCGTAATAAAACAATTTATTACAGAAACCATGTAGAGATAGTTTTGTACTTTGATATTGGGTAAAACTTACATATCAGAATAAAGCGTGGGCTTGCTTGGCAACAATTTATATCTCGTACCAATGTACCGTGGGTAGGCCTAGCCGTACCCATAGTGGACTGTAAACGGCACAATTAGATTACAGAATATAAGGGCATTCTTTACAATTAACTCTCAAATAAACGCAGTCCAAATAATGTAATGCAGTTTTATTTATTTAGAATAAAATTAAAGATAATCACTACTGGACATGGGAGAACATGGTACTGGAGAACAGTGGCAGTGGCAGCCTTAGGAGGCGGCGAACAGGGCAATCACCCGGGGCCTCGCTCTCGCCTCGCGTAACAACCAAAGCAAGTTTTAAACAACCAAGGAGTGTCAATTTGTAAAAACATCCCGATTTAGGCACTTATTGTAAATGAATGAAATATATAACACTAAAATATACAAATAGTTGTAATTTTGTTTTAAATTATGAAATATTGCCCTCTCTCTCCCCCCTTTTATATATATATGTATATTTTTGTTCGCATGAAAACCAGCTGTATGTTCACGTAGGACATACATTAAAGCTGAGTGGAGCCATTTCAGTGCATTATTGGATGTAAAAAATGATTATTTTATGTTTATTTTTAATTATGGAACGAAAAGTTTAATTATATGTACATTTTATAAAAAACTAAGTCTTTTTTTTCGTTTGTTGTTTATATTGTATTTTTTACAGAGCACTGCTTAATAAATGATTTTTCTTTCTTTCTCATCTTTCTTTCTTACAAATAAAGTAACAATTTAAAAAAATGAAATATTGAATCAGGGCGGAAAATTTCGGCATAATCGTTCGCATCACATACATTTTACGTAGGAAATTCAAATCCAAATTATGAAGTCAGGTTTCTTTTATTGCCGGAGATTACATAATGTTAGTAGTGACATAGGAACGAAAACTGGTGGTCATGTCTGATTTTAAATAAAAACTAAGTTTTTCTATTTTGGGTTTTTCCGCACATGGTATTATAGAGAGCATCATCGCATATATAAATGATTCAATATCATCTCGATAGTTTTGATTATGAAAGCGTTGTCATTCTGTTTAACATGTCATGTCTCCGAGACCTCCAATTTCATTGTAATATCTTATGCAGTCTACGTCTACTATGTACTATTGTTAATGAAAAATTAAAATTTAAATTATGAAGGGGGTGTATTTTAAATGGGGTTTTGGGCTATTGTCAGCACTATAAATATAACGTTACAAAGATGTATAATACTGGCCTTTTTCCTTCAAGTTCATATAGTTTTATGATTTTGTTTTAGTCACGATGACAACGGTTTTCTCATCCCACATCATCTCAATTCTAAGGTATTGATTCAATACTTTCTCCATAGCGCGCGGAAAAAGGTAAGGCTTATTGGTCGGCTGTTAGAGCGCGCTGCGCGCTAGTGTCCGGTCAGATTTACTCAGTCTCTACTATGTACTATTGTTAATGAAAAAGTAGGTAAGAATTTAAATTGCTCAGGGGGTGTATTTTAAATGAAGCGCGCGGTAACAGCACTATAAATATTCGGCGCGTTAGCCGCGCGCGAACTATTTATAATACTGGTAGACCTGGTGGCGGTCAGCAGGCGTCCGGGCGGTGTCCGAGCGCGCGGCAGAAGGCCGCCACCAGGTGCTCGGCGCGCTGCAGCCGCGCGCGGCGCTCGTGTCCGGTGAGAGCCTGCAGCCTGGTGGCGGTCAGCAGGCGTCCGGGCGGTGTCCGAGCGCGCGGCAGAAGGCCGCCACCAGGTGCTCGGCGCGCTGCAGCCGCGCGCGGCGCTCGTGTCCGGTGAGAGCCTGCAGCCTGGTGGCGGTCAGCAGGCGTCCGGGCGGTGTCCGAGCGCGCGGCAGAAGGCCGCCACCAGGTGCTCGGCGCGCTGCAGCCGCGCGCGGCGCTCGTGTCCGGTGAGAGCCTGCAGCCTGGCGTGCGCGGCGGCGGCCGGCAGCGCCCCCAGCGCCGCCGCGAACTCTTCGGCGCGCTCCACGTCCTCCCCCGCGCTCTCCTCGTCTTCCGCGCCCGCGCTCCCCCCCGCGCTCACCCACTCCGACCACGACTCCTCCGACGACGTCGTATCTGAACAACGAGCATACTGTGATTCCTACTACTGCAACCGACATGTGAAAACGTTGAATACTTTTAGTGTACAATTCACTGTTTAAGTATCGAAAATAGAGTAATATGCGAGGTAGGTACCGGGCGAGGAGCGGGCGTCGTGGGGCGGTGCGGGTGCGCGCGGCCAGAGGTGCGCGTGCAGCGCGTCCCTGAGGCGCGGCAGGCCGTCGTCGGCCAGCTCGTACCGCGCGTGGGCCGCCCAGCTGGCCAGCCGCCCGCCCCCGAGGCCCCGCCCGCCCTCGAGCCCCCGCCCGCCCACGAGCCGCGGCCCGCCCGCCCTGGCCGCTCGCGCCGCCCCCGGCCCGGCCGCGCGCCGCGCCGCCGTCTCCGCCGAGCACTGCACACACACCGATCACTCACCTCACCCGCTGTACAGTGAGAGGTGGAAGGTGGTGGAAGTACGGATATCCATCCTTCCACCGTATTTCACATAAGCTGAGCCAAAATATTTTTTTTAAGTTGGCTATCGGCAATCATTACTGGTGCTATAAGCAGGTGAGCCGTTGATAGTAGGGGTGGGAGGATCTCTATCCTTGGACAAGATCCCCATGTTTCACTAAATATCTTTCATCCAGCTCCAGGACATTTGCTCTTTTTAGTCTTTTTGCTGTGTTATGGACAATTATTTTTTAAAGAAAAGGAGGAGCATCTATCATCATTATTGTCCAAGAAAGTTAGCTCCAACTAACTCCAAAACTTGCATGAAAGCTCTAGGCCAGTGTAATAATACTAACTTAATATCTCTATAATTTTTTATACGTAATAAAGATAATATTAAAAAAATATTACTAGAACAAAATATTTTTGAATATTTTATTGATCTTCATCCGAGTTCTGAGTGATCCTCTATTCCACTTATATTTAGGAGTTATTATATTGATTTTCAACTTGAATTGAAATTATATTACATACTAGCTGTACACGCGACTTCATCCATGAGGAATTTAACATCCTTTTTCTAAAATAAAAGAATTTTTCTATAATAAAGGTAGCCTAAGTTAGTCCTTATTACCTCACCTACCTGCCCACAAAAGAAAAAAATTGTAAAAAATATTATTTTAGTGTATGTACCACATTTATATTCATATGCAGGTAGTAAGTAAAAAATGGTTATTGCATATTACAAACAGACACTCCAATTTTATTGATATGTATTTTATTGATGTGTCAGTTCTATTTTAAGATTAGTGTAATCCATTACCATGACCACTGTATGTATCAACTGTAATGAACAGAATATGAGGTACCTCGTCTTCTTCAAGATATATAATGTGTGCTTCTATCAGGTGCTCATCTATTTGTAACTCTTCGTCATCAGCGTGTGGGTGTAGCCTCACGTCCGCCGTGTAATACTTGTTCACTATCCTCCAAACGTGCCCGTCACCTTCATAATCTGGTGGTACATTGTCTATTATTTCTGAAAACAAATCCAACATGATAGTTATTGTCGATTTTTATGTTTACTTTAATATATTTTATTAATTATTACACATTAAGTTCTAAACGACTACTAAAGTAGTTAAGAATTTAATGTGCTATCATCAACATCAATCTCTTATAGATTTAATTAACTGGTAAAGGCTATAACGGAATAGCAGAGAGGGTGGACTCACTGCCCCCTCTGAGTCATAGACTGTTGTAGTCTCCTTCATTACTTTTAAATTTTATTATTGTATCCGCAGCAATTGTGTTAGTTTTTGTTTGAGACAAATAAAGATGATTATTACTTACACTATGTTTGCATTTTCTCAGCTTTTGCTGATTTTTTTTACCACTAATTATTTTTTTTATTTGAGTTTTCATTATAACTAAGATAGTTAATTTACTATCTAAATTAATTATAACTTTTTATTTTTTTACTACGCGCATATGAATATAAATAAAGAACATACACCAAAATAACATTTTTTACAATTTTTGTTTGTCTGTCTGTTTGTTCCGGCTAATCTCTGAAATGGCTGGACCGATTTCGAAGAGATTTTTTGGCAGGTAGCTGATGTAATAAAGAGTAACTTAGGCTACTTTTATTTTAGAAAAATTATTTTGTTTTACAATAATAAAGTTAAATTCCACACGGACGAAGCTGCGGGTATAGCTAGTATGACTTAAGAGCGGTTGCGATGTTCTGAACATTCCACTCGTTCTACTAATGTTTTAACTAGACAATGAAAAATAATATTAAAAGTAGACCGGTACCTGAAATTAATGTTTTGGCGGCTGTTGTACTTTTAGCGCTCACTAAAATAACTGGTAAATTATTATAATACGATGCCATTTCTTATACTTTAATGACTATATGACGAGTTGATTGTAAACAAATTGTTTCTGAACATCATGAGAATTCGTTCAAAGTTACATGCAATATAAAAAAATTAAAAAGTAAATATTTACAATATAATTATATACAGCGAAGAATAAAATGAAATAATTATTTTATAAGAATAATAATTTACAATAATATATATATTATTCTATTATGACATTTTAATGACACAACACAAGTCCAAGGATCATATAGAGTCAAAAGAGTATACAGTACAGATCACCAAACTGTCAAACTAATAGTGCCAGTGCAGTCTTTCTTTCCGTCTAATTTTGCTCAAAATCCCCCAAATATCTTTGTTGGGGGATGTTTCTACAAAAGTAGAATTTTAAGGGAAGTTTTTAGTAGTACTAACCGATAGCTAAAAAATAAAGTATGAGCTCTTACACTATTGAATTGAATTAAGAATGTAAATCCTCTGTCTGTAGAATGTCATTGTCATATTTTAGTGTCATTTCTATGATGTCATTATGGAATTGATTGTCTGTCTGTCATTCGTTACTTATTATAAAATATTGCTAAATAAAATTCTTTCATAAATTCATAAGATACTTTAAATTAGACATTTCAACCTTATTGATATATCGACAGTGATATATTTATTTGTAGTTCGCCGGTCAACAATTTATCGGGTGTTCTGTGAATATTGTAATGTAGGCCTTGTTGCGTCGACTGCAAACCGCCTGCGTATCGCTAAATCAAATAGCAATTGTTTGTAATATCGATATGTTTTAATAGAAAACTTGTTTAAATCGAAAAGATGGATAATATAATATCGTGGTCTGCGGAAGATGAAGCCATCATTGGCACCAACACGGACGCCACAGAGTGCAAGCGATCCGCAGTAGAGCTGGGCTACTGGAAGGACGACTATATTTCGTATTTCGTTAAGCACGTAGACAGAAAAGCACCCGAGATAAATCGCGGCTACTATGCCCGAGTGCGAGGTATGGAGATGTTTATACATCAGTTTATAGAGGTTAGTACAAGTGTAAAATGAAACTGGTTGTAGGGAGCACCGTCGTGGAATCAATTAACATGTCTAAAGTGCCTAACTATCACTGTAACGGGTATAAAACGTAGTTATATATATGTAAATACAGGCATTTAATGCTGCATTTAAATATTGTAGTAATATGTTATGCAATAATGTCTATTTGATGACGGAAACAAACTTGAGCATGATTGTGATATCACAAGTAGCTGGTTTATATGAGTTTGTACAGTGACAGTGCAGGTTTATTTATGTATTGTTTTGTTCATGTTTGTAGCAAACATTGCATTAGATATAATATTTTACTGGAATGTAGCATCAGATATTGTTGTTTACTTGCAGAGATGTGGAACCAAATGTCAAATAATCAACCTGGGGTGTGGATATGATACTCTGTACTGGCGGTTGAAGGAGACTACGCAGGCCGTAGGCAACTTTATAGAACTTGATTTTCCAGCTGTTACATCTAAAAAATGTCACATAATTAAGAGGAATAAGCAGCTTCTAGAGAAAATATGTAATGAAGGTAAATTGTAATTATAAAATATTTTATTTGTATATGTACAGGCTGAACATGAAATGTATTGCAATAATAAAAGTATAAGAAAGTTTCTTAGTCTAATATTTATATTGCATTATGATTCACTGCATGCGTTTAATATCACATTACATATCACCATTCTATATTCAGTAGTGGACCATAGACAGGTTGCGATGATGGTGATTATGCTTATGGAGGTGGGTGACGTAGGATGTATGGTATGTACGTGTCGCAGACGGGGAGGTGGTGATCCGCGAGGGGGACCTGCACTCGGACGGGTACCACCTGGCGGGCTGCGACCTGCGCTGCCTGGGCGAGGTGCGCCGCAAGCTGGCGGCGGCGGGCGCGGGCGAGGGCCCGGCCGCGCCGCCCACGCTGCTGCTGGCCGAGTGCGTGCTCGTGTACCTGCGGCCCGACGCCGCCGACGCGCTGCTGCGCCGCCTCGCCGCGCAGTTCCCGCGCTGCGCGCTGCTCGTCTACGAGCAGTGCAACCTCGGCGACAAGTTCGGGGAGGTCATGGTGCGCAACCTGAGCGCGCGCGGCTGCGCCCTGGCCGGCGGCGGCGGCGGCTCGCCCGCGGAGCAGGCGGCGCGGCTGCGGGGGCTGGGGTTCGAGGCCGCGCGCTGCTGGGACATGACGGCCGTGTGGCGCGCGCTGCCCGACGACGACCGCCTGCGCGTGGAGGCGCTCGAGATGCTCGACGAGCGCGAGCTGCTGCACCAGCTGCACTCGCACTACGCGCTCGCCGTCGCCACGCGCTCCGCCGTGTTCGCGGACATGGACCTCAACGCCTAGTTCCTCCCGGGCGGGCCCCGCCGCGCCCCGCCGCGCCCCGCCGCGCCCCGCCGCGCCCCCCCGCGCCGGCAGCCGACGGTCCAGCGTAGATCCCACGCGTACGTGATTTGAGAAGTCGCCGCGGCCGTCCCGAGAATGTGCGCTGCCAAATGTGAACGCGACCGAAACTGTTCATATTGTGGCGGCGAGTGAAGTCGTATATATTTATTACGGAAGTACGATGTCGACCGACCGCTGCCGCAGTAGTTAGTCACTAATACTAGGAGCATGCTTGTATTAAATCACTTTTCGATCGTTCCGGTTGTATATAGAAATAAAATCTCTGAGGAGTAATTTTATTCCCTTTATGAATTTTTGTAGGTCATCTACGAAGCCTACTTGTAGCTGAACAGTGGCGGTGTTAGGCGTCGGCGACCTCGACAATCGCCGAAGGCCTCGCGCTAGAGAGGTCGCGCAAAGTTTTTAATTATCTAAAATTTAGTTATTAATTTTTATTTATTTCCATACAGTTGCACGAGTAAAGAGAATGATTAGTACTTTACGGAATTTAAATATATCAAAATGTTTATATAACATTAGAATCATGCTCACAGTTCCCGTCAGGACAGCTTCTGCTGAGAGAAGCCTCTCAAAGTTAAAATGGTTTAAGACCTTGAGAAGCACGATGAGTCAGAGAGACCATCTGTGTTATCAGTTCTATCATTTGAAGCTGAAATAGCGACTTATATTAGCTATGACATAATCCTGAAAATGTTCAGTAAGACCAAAAGCCGAAAAGTTTGTCTATTTTAATTTCTATTTCTGTAATTTTTGGCATCATTTGATTAGCACAAAATCTCGATTACTCATATATTAATTTAATTATATTTTTTATGTAATTTAACGTTTTCTTGACTGCGAAAAAAGGAATCCTCGCGAACCCTAATTTCGCCGACGTCCACGCGTGATCTAGCGCCGCCACTGTTGCTAAATAACTGATCGTATGAAAATGTCAATTATGACAGTATCAATACCTAAAAAATAATTGGCCGACTAGAAAAGAAAAGCCAAATAATGTGGTGTTATATAGTAGTTTCTTGCAGCGTGAGAGCGCGCGGAGTACCTAGCAGTATGATGTATAGTATGGTAATATAATCCCTCGCGCACCATAACTTTATTCAATAAACCTGAACACGGCGCGACCCCGGGCGCCTCCTGTATGTAGGCGGTCAATTTTTCTTATTCTTTAAATATGTTTATCGTATGTAGTCAGTGCTTATGATACTTTTTGATGTGGTGTACTTACAGTTATGTTGAATAAATTATATCGAGAGTTATTTATGTGCTAAATTGTGATATGATTCCGTTGATTGGTCCCCTTGAAGTCTATGCAGACGCGATGTGGTTCTGGTCGAGTTTACGTACCGCCGTCTTAAACTAGGCTGGGGCCCTTGGGCATATAAGAATACGGGGCCCTTTTGGATAAAAATTGTTAATCACTTGGGGGCCCCCTGAGAACGGGGGCCCTGGAAACGGACCCCATGTGTCCTTATGGTAAAGACAGTATTGAAACTTTTATTATGTTTTCAAAGGCGAGATTATTGAAAAGTCAATGATTTACTTTTATATTTGATTTTATTGCGAGGAAAAATAATAGTACTGTTTCTACGTAACAGGACACACCCCATCTCTCAACTGTGATATTTATCTACCATCATAAAAAAAATAAAAATAAAAATATCAAATTATATGTGGGTAGTTTGAAACAGAGAACAAGGTGGTAAAATTAAATGTTGCAGTAAATATGTGCTTAGGTACAAACAAAAACATCTAACATACCGCCCACCAAGGACATATTATGACAAGTATGTCCTTCAACACCGCCCACCTTGCTACTGTATCAATTATTTAAATCACTAAATTATCTTAATTAAGCCATAGTTATATCTAATAACAATTATGTAAAAAAAATGTAAACAATTAACAATAAACTATAATGAAGTAACATGCTGATGATTAATATGCAAAAATTATAAGATCTTGTTTTAACTTTGATCTTCTAATATCAACAAATTTCACCTTATCATGTATACAATACAACAGTTAGTCAGATACAACGCAGTGAATTAAACGAAAAAAAAAAAAATAATAAACAAATCTGGTCTGTTGACCTACGCATGTATGCAACATATCATAATAATGCTTACATATGAATACTTTTACCTAGACATATTTGAATTATTTACTGACACTTTGTATATATACACTAATAAGTGCGAAACGAAACTGATCTCAAACAAAATATTACTCATAGTTATTTAGTTATAGGTAGCACGCATAATTTAGAGGTAGGCCTTTTGATTACTGAATCTTTAGTACTCAAAGTTACTACTCGTGTAAGTTTATCAGGACCCGGGTGCTTCTGTTCTACCTTTCCCAATAACCACCTACCTGGAGGCAAATCGTCTTCTTTTACCAGTACTATATCACCAATGTTTGGTTCCGGTATTTGGTGGGCCCATTTATGTCGCTGTAAAAACTGATTTAAATAATCCTGAGACCAAAGACGCCAAAAAATTTGCAACATTCTCTGTGATAGTTGCCATCGTCTAAGAGTAGTTATACCAGAATCCTCATAATTTGAATCGGGTACTACAACAAGTGGTTCACCGACTAGGAAATGGGCTGGTGTTAACACTGTTTCTTCGGTTTGGTCAGCCACGTATGATAACGGTCTCGAATTAAGACACGCTTCAATTTGTGCCAGCACTGTTATCATCTCTTCAAAGGTCAACGTCGAGTTTCCAACAACTCTTCTTAAATGGTATTTTACAGATTTTATCCCCCCCTCCCAGAGCCCCCCAAAGTTAGGAGCACGAGGCGGGATAAAATGCCACTCTGTTCCGTTGGTTGCAAGTGATTGGGCCAATTCTGGTATAAATTTGGATTTTTCCTCCTTGAATAAGTCGCTTAGCTCCCGCGCAGCGCCCACAAAGTTAGTGCCGTTGTCGCTATACAAATGAGAACAACGGCCACGTCTGGCAACAAATCTCTTAAATGCAGCCAGAAACCCTTTAGATGTCAAATCACTAACTGCTTCCAAGTGCACAGCGCGTGTAGACATGCATATGAAGAGTGCAATGTAACCTTTGTAAGACTTGTTACCTCTGCCCTTAGAGACCCTGATATTAATGGGACCGGCGTAGTCTACTCCACTACATAAAAAAGGTTTCCGACATGGTGTCACGCGTGGAGATGGCAGTTGTCCCATTAACTGTGCTCGTGTTTTCGATGAATACCTAATACAGATTACACATTTTCTTACGTGTAAGCCTTGACCAGAATCTTCATGCCAATGATCCAAAATTGAGATCTGAGGTAAGTTATCATAATTTGAGGGCCACCGTGCAGAGTCTTTTCATGTGCATCTGCGATAAGAAGATGTGTAAATTGGCCGTTTTTGGGAATTAGCATTGGATGTTTACGATTGTAATTCAATTGAGATATCTCCAATCGTCCACCAACTCTAAGAATTCCTGTAGAATCAATAAAAACATTTAACGATTTTAGTGCCTTGCCTGTTGTACATAAGCTTTTTTTACTTTTTAGTTCCTCCAGCTCCTCTGAGAATTGTTCTTCTTGACATTTTCTAACACATACCACTTTGGATTCATCTATTTCAGAAGGAGTAATGTAAATAGTAGTGTGTCTCGTTGTTACTGGACTTCTTAAGTATAAGAATCGCCTGCAATAAGCCACAATTCGAAGTAACTTGGAAAGCGATGAGAATTTGTTCCAGAATGTAAGATCCAACATAGTTGTATGAACTTTAACTTCTTCGAGTTTAGTTATCAGATGTTTTGGTTTTTTATACTCTATTACTCTCTGCCTTAAAAATTCTGGACCCTGAAACCAAATTGAAGTCTGACCCAGATCAGTAGGAGATACACCTCGTGAAGCACAGTCTGCGGGATTTTGTTTAGAGGACACATGTGACCAGTGATGTGTATCCAAAATACTCAATATATCTGAGACTCTGTTGGCAACGAATGTTTTCCAGCGGCTTGGATGGCTATTTAACCACGCTAAAACGACTTCCGAATCCGTCCAAGCGTGCAGATCGCTCTGATTGATATGCAAATCATCGGCTACGTCTACAATCAATCTCGCTAATAACACTGCACCACACAATTCTAACCTCGGAATAGACACTTGTCTGATGGGTGCCACTTTCGTTTTTGAGGTAACTAACGAAATATGTACGTTGCCTTCCGAGTCGACGGATCTTATATAGACAACGGCCGCATAAGCCATTTTCGAGGCGTCTGAGAACCCGTGTAATTCGGTTTTTACATTTTTACATCGTGTACCCAACCAACGAGGAATTTTTATGGAGCGCAATGATACTAATCCATGTCGGTAAGTATTCCATTCCAATAGTAAGTTACTAGGAACTTCTTCATCCCATTTAATCCCGGCTAGCCAAAGCTTTTGAATTATAACTTTAGCTAAAATGATAGTAGGTGCTAACCATCCTAGAGGGTCAAATAACCGTGAAATATCGGATACAATAATTCTTTTTGTTGCAGGTTCTAGTTGCCGCTGGATTTCCACTGAATACTGAAAAACATCAGCATGAGGATCCCAGGTAAGTCCAAGAATTTTATGATTATTATCAACCTTTATTTCTAAGTCTTGGTTTAATTTTAATTTTTCTTCTTTCATTTGATTGCATAAGTCTCTATTATTACTAATCCATTTTTCTAACTGAAAGCCCCTTTCACTAAAATTTTATTCATGTTTTTATAAATATTAAATCCTTCTTCAATTGTTTCAGCTCCTGTCATGAGGTCATCAATATAAAAATCATTTAAAATTATTTTTGCAATTATTGGATTATTCTGGCATTCATCACGAGCAACCTGTTGTAATGAACGTACAGCCAGATACGGACCAGAAGCAGTTCCAAACGTAACCGTAGAAAGCTCGTATTCTTCAATCTCGTTTTCTGGTTTATTTTTCCATAAAATGCGTTGAAAAATACGATCATTTTTATGAACTAAAACCTGCCGATACATTTTAACAATATCGGCAACTAAAACAATAGCATGCGTTCTCCAGCGAGTAATAAGATGATGAATATCGGCTTGCAAGGTAGGACCAACCATTAAATTGTCATTTAATGACACACCATTTTTACCTTTGCAGGAGGCGTCAAATACAACTCGTATCTTCGTGGTTGTTTTATCCTCCCGAATGACTGCATGATGAGGTAAGTACACGGCATTTTTATTATTTTCTTCTTCCCTAGGTACCCTGGTCATATGATGAAGCTCTAAATATTCGTGTATGACTCTTGTATATTCTTCTCTAAGATTACTATTCTTTTGAAATCTATATTGTAAGCTATTTAATCTTCTCTCAGCTATTACTCTAGTTTCACCTTTCCTACATTCTGGTTCAGCATCTCGTAGCGGAAGTCGAACAATGTAACGACCACTCTTATCTCGACTGGTAGTTTTCTCAAATAATTCCTCACATTTCGCTTCTTCCGGTGTAAGCATTTTTGTTTTTTTCAGATGGCTCCGCTTCCAGCTCCCAAAACCGTTTCAATAACGTATCATAATCTACGATCGTATGCATAACACCAATATGCGATTGAACATCAGAATTATAATCTGCATCAATAGCACCAGATATAACCCAACCGAATGCTGTATCCTGAGCAACAAGTGATCCAGTCGAGCTTCTTCTCAAACCTTCTCGAATGACTTGACTGTAAATTTCAGCACCTAACAAAACATCTATTTTGTTAGGTCTATAATATTCAGGATCAGCCAGTTCATCCTTATTAAGGTCAACCAATTCTATTACCTTCTTAACCTTCATAACTGGAAGAAGGGATGTAATAGATTTTAATACATAAGCCTTAAGTTGTATAATATAATTTGGATCTACTCTAGACTGCATTTTGACTGTCACTGTATAATTGGACCTGACATTTTTGTCTCCTCCTACACCTATAATACTGTGCCTGGATGGCATTTTTTTTAATCCTAAGTACTGAGCTGTCATCTCAGTAATAAATGAACCTTGTGACCCTTGATCTAACAAAGCTCTTATATCCCTGTATGTTCCATCTTTCGACTCAGCTTTTACATGAGCTGTGGTCAGTAAAACTGTGCCATAACAATTTCCTGTCGAAAGATATGAATCACTAGGCTTCAAGTGTTTTGTGGTAATACTATGATTTACCGTTACCTCCTTCGTCGACTCTGTATTTTCAGTAGACGAAATTTCCTCACTCCCTCCATTGACTTCACAATTAGATCTTGCAACGCTGTGCACACTGGGGTGCAGTAATGTATGGTGACGTCTTTTACAAACGTGGCATCTGAGAGATGTTTTACAAAACTTGGCAGAGTGGTTACCTGTTAAACATATAAAGCATAGTCCATTTTCTTGTGCAAATTTACGACGAGAATCATTTGATTCCTTGCCGAAACCCTTACACGACGTTATTCTATGGGCAGCTGAACAAAATACACACGTAACTATTTTTTTATCGACATTTTTGGTATATGCATGAAAAGATTGAGTGTTCTTTTGGGATCTGTCAACTAAAGACCTACCATCTAAATTTTCTAGACCTCGAAAACGACCGGTTAAAAATTCACTGAATTGTGCAAATGTTGGTAATTCATCACTCGAATCTGATGAGACCTTTAACTCCCACACCTTTCTTGTCTCCTTGTCTAGTTTCGCACCTATTATATGTATTACAATTATATCCCACGAAGACACATCGACTCCTAAATTTTTTATAGCGTCTAAACAATCTGTAGTGGTACTTAAAAGTCTTTTAATTTCATTTGCCGATTCGAAAGTTAAACCCTTTTGGTTTAATAATCGCTTCAAAATAGCGTTAGCTAAGAATTTTTTATTATTATACATAGTTTCCAATTTATTCCAACTACTTTTATAATTTTCCGCAGTAACATTTACATTTCTCAATAACATTTCAGCATCACCCGATAAATGACCTTTTAAATAATAAAATTTTTGTGCGTCATCTAAATTCTTATTTGTGTGTACAAGGCCTAAGAATAAATCTCTAAATGTATGCCACTCCGTATATTTGCCTGTGTATATAGGAATTTTAATTTCTGGTAATTTTACGTTATGTCCTGAATTTACACTTTGACTGCTACATGAACTTGGACTAGACATTTTTAATTTGTTTAACATGTCTTTTAATTCTGATTTATATAATACATATAATTCTTCCACCTCATCATAAACACCATTATTATAATATTCTGAATTCAGTAACTCAGATTTTTTGACTTCACAAATAATTTGAGTATGTGTTTGTGTGAATTGAATCCACTGTCTTTCAACATTTTCTAACCGTGCTTCAATGTATGAAATAGATAATCTATCCTTTGGGGACTTTTTAAAATTAGACCTAGCTTTACCTATATTAAATTTTACATCTTTCTGTACGTTACTTAATGATTCCATGATTAATATTATAAGATCCAATGAATATATATCTAATTAATTAACCTTATTAGTCTTACAATCAAAATATATAATCTATTTTATATAATGTAAGAGATAGGTCTCCAAGTGCATTAAAATAAGAACAAAAATCACAATATATTTTTTTTGCAATAAGTAAATGAATAACTCAATGATGACAAAGTCCAAAGTCCATATAAGTATCGCGCGGGTAAAGTCTATTTGTATATTCTTGAAACACTTTTGAATATTACTTTTTTTGGTAAAATTAAAATTGTACTCACGGTTTTATCACTTCACACTCACTTGCATCTAATTCAAATAGTAAAAATCTTCTCACTTTATTAGGTACCTGCTATAGGTACGCTGAATTCACAATTTTTTCCACTGCCTTTTGCCTCCCGTACGTCGTTCCTCCGGGAATGAACCTCCCGGATCCTATTCGCCGTTGCCAGCTGATGGGATAATTAGATAGCAATCCTGGTTTGCTATCTTGTGAGACGTAGGGTGATTATCACTTCACCACCGGTGATTATATCAAAAAACACCTTTAGCCAATATCCGACTCGAGGACCATGAAACTTTTATTATGTTTTCAAAGGCGAGATTATTGAAAAGTCAATGATTTACTTTTATATTTGATTTTATTGCGAGGAAAAATAATAGTACTGTTTCTACGTAACAGGACACACCCCATCTCTCAACTGTGATATTTATCTACCATCATAAAAAAAATAAAAATAAAAATATCAAATTATATGTGGGTAGTTTGAAACAGAGAACAAGGTGGTAAAATTAAATGTTGCAGTAAATATGTGCTTAGGTACAAACAAAAAACATCTAACAAGTATTGAGTTTACGAGCTCCAAGCATTATTTGTACCTCAGTTTCACCTATTTGAGCCACTAAACTGGAGCTTTGTAACCTTTTTTTTTTTTATAACAGGGACAAACGAGCATTCGGCTCACCTGATGGTAAGTGATTACCGCCCATGAGCACTCGCAACCAGGGGAATTGCAAGTACATTTCCGGCCTTTTAAAAAGGAATAAGCTCTTGAAAATTTCAATATCGTATCGGTTCGGAAATTCCATTGCTGGAAGGTGATTCCACAATGTTTCGGTTGTAGGGTGCGGTAGGCAGTGATGTTATGGGATAAGAGGCATGATTTCTTCTTCCTCTGTCGTTCTACTTCTCTAGTCCTTTAGAATGGGAACGTGCATGGTGTAGTGGGTGTCACATTGTATGATGTTTGTGTATGTAGGCGACGGTTACAGTTTCATTTCTTGTGGCCTGTTAGCTTGTTTGGTATTTCAAATACATAACGGAAAAGCGTGAGAGATGAGACGGCGCGGTGCAAGTCGTGTCATGTATAGACTTCTTTATTTATTGTAGTATAATAAGTACCTCTGGTATATGTGAAATGAGATATAGTATTTTTTTGTCGCTTAAAGCAACTTAAGAAATTTACATAGTTAATGTAGTTTTATAATCATTATTGAGTTATTAAATTTTGTCATAAAATACAGTAAAAAGTTTCATCTTTATCTTGTTGTACAAATAAAACATGGAAATTATCTTATTTATTGGGCGTCACAAAATATAATAGATTGAATTTAATGTTTTGAGTCATTGTTATTTTGAAACCTGATTTAAAAAAAATATTATAAATTGAATCTCATGCATATAGCTGTATGCTACTTCTACTCGTGTGGTTCGTTTTGCACAAGGAGTACTATAGTATATAGTAGGGAGGTAAGTATGCGGCATAACAACTGACTGGCACGGGTGTTTTATCAATAAAACGACTGGATAAGAACGTGAAGTAATGTTTATTGTGCGCCGCCGCGTGGCGGTGGCTATATGTGCGGGAGGCAGGCGGCGAGCGCGCGGCGCAGCGCCTGCCGCACGTGGGCGCGGCCCTCGCAGAACACGTGCGTGGCGTGCGGCTCCACGTGCACGAGCGTGTCGTGGCGCGGCAGGTGCACGATGCAGCCCTCGTCCGCCGCGCCGCGCTCCACGCGCGCCTCCGCCACGCCCTCGCGGGCCAGCGCGCGCACCAGCGCCTCCACGTCCAGCGCGCCCCAGTGCAGCGCGGGGGCGGGCGCGGGCGCGGGGGCCGGGGCGTCGGCGGGGGCGGGGGCGGGGGCGCCGGGCGGCGCGGGGGGCGGCAGCAGCAGCAGGCGGCTGTCGCGCAGCTGCAGTCGCGCGGCGAGCGGCGCGGCGCGCAGGCCGGGCCGCAGGTCGGTGGGCGCGGCGCGCGCCGCCAGCCGCCCGCACAGCAGCCCGCGCGCCGCCCGCCGCCGCCCGCCCACCGCGCGCGCCGCCCCGCGCCGCACCACCACCGTCGCCACGTCGGCCGCCACGTGCGCGCGGCCCGCACCCCCGCCCCCGCCCCCGCCCGCACCCCCGCCCGCCGCGTACTGCTCGGGCAGCGCCAGCTCGCGCGGCCGCAGCTCGCGCACCAGCTTGCTGGCCTGCGAGTAGTTCAGCGACGTGTCGATGGGGCAGTGGAACGCCTTCATGCTCAGCGGCTGGAACGGGGCCAGCGCCTCCGTGTGCGGGAAGTCCGGCTCTGCGGACCGATAAATAAAAATAAACCTTAAACCGATGTCAAAAACATATTAATCAGTAAAATTACAACAATAATTTGTTAGAAATAAATCGAAAAACACTACTATGATAATGATGATTTCAAATAAATACGTGTAGATTTATTATCTTACCACTACATATCCTATGCGTGGAATCGATATCAATCGTAAGTGTATCTCTAGACCACCGAGGCCAAAATATGAAAAATTAATTACTGTATTAATTTCCGCCTACCTCTTAATGATACATTAATATTACTGAATATTTATTTAATACCACAACAATAGCAAACAAGCATACAGTCCAAGTGACTGTCTGTGTATAAGTGTAGCGTAGTGTGGTGTAATGTAGCGTGGTGTGGTGTGGCGCGGTACTGACCTGTGAATATGATGGCGTGAGCGGGGTTGTTGGCCCACAGCTCCACGAGGTGCACGGCCGCACCGAACCGCAGGCTCGGGTGTCCACAGAACACCACGCACGGCTACAACACACAAGCGCTTAACAATTACTGTCCTACGAGGGGGTGTCACCACACCCTCCGAGTTAGGGGTCGATGTCGCTCCGTCCATCGACTATACCTTCACATCTGTTACTGCTTTATTAAGATGTCGGTCGTAACCTCTCGACTGCCCCCGATCGATCCTCCAATTCAAACGTGGATCCAAATTACGACGACCTGAGCCGGATTCAGTTGTTGAATCACGTCATGCAAATTGTCACAAATTTAAATATAATCTCGATTATCTATGAATTGCAGTACACTCTTATTCGATTTTCAATATATGAAAGTTTTAAGAAAAGTTATTTATTAAATAAAAGGTTCCCTATTCAGTACTAGAAGAATTATCTGTAATGAGGGCGATTACAATTGTTTATGATCAAAGTTGCGTGCTCGTTCGTTATCTGAGTTTATAAATGAAATAGATATGAATATAGTCACCTGACGAAAATCAGCGCTAAAAGAGTCGTCGTGCAGATTACGTGCGTGTTTGAGGCGGCCGGCGCGGGCCAGCGCTGCGTGCGGGAACGGCTCCTCGGGCAGGTACACGCGCGCCTGCAAGCGAGCTCGTATGTAGAGACGCGCAGCCACGCAACAGAGGCATAAGTGAGCACGGACAGAGTCCGGAGCCCCACCTGCTTGGTGACCGAGACCCACTCGGCGAGGATGTTGCTGTAGGCGAGCGAGGAGTCCGCCACCGGCGACACGACGTAGAGCGGCACGTGCGCCAGCCCCGCGCCGTCGAGGTGCTGCGAGAGGCACTCGAGCAGGTCGTAGAGCACGCCGCTCGGGTACACCGGGCACAGCACGCAGCCGCCCGCGCGCAGCGTGAGCGTGGCGTGCACGCACAGGTCGCCCAGCATGTGGTCCGGGTTGTGCGCCGGCGTCTGCGTGAGCGCGGCCAGCACCAGCAGGTCGGCGCCGCGCAGCGCCGCCTGGTTGATGGGCCGCGGGTGCGTGGTGAGCGTGCTGGAGCCGCTCACGTACGCGACCTTCTCGTGCGCCGAGCGCAGCACCCAGTTGGCGGAGCCGAGGCAGAAGCCCGAGGAGACGGGCGTGGCGTCGAGCGCGCCGTACACGTCGACGCGCTCGTCGTAGCCGACGACGCGCACGCGCGCCAGCGCCCGCGCCACCGCCGCCGGCGCGAACAGCCGCCGCCACGCGCGCGGCCGCGCCGCCTGCGACAGCGGCGCCGGCAGCACGTGCAGCAGCTCCTTCCAGCGCCGCGCGCGGCCCCCGCCCGCGCCCGCGCCCACCCACGCCGCCAGCTCCTCCAGGTAGAACCTGCACCGTCCGCCGCCTCGCTCACTAACCGCCCACTCCGACCGATCTTTTTATACTCGGGTACAGACGCGTTCGCATCGTGCGAGGAATCGAACCTGCGATCGTCGAAAGTATAGCCGTTCGCCGACCGGCTCCACCGCCGAAGTCATCGTACCGTCCGCTCTATTGACTACTGGATTCTATTTAGTAGTTATGAAACTGAACTATACCACTGACGGCACACGTCGACAAAAACACAAAGAATTATTTATTGTTATTTAAGATACAAATTGTTAATTTCAGTTTTCAATCTATGAAACATTTTCAATTTATTTTGTAGGTTAAGCTGGCCCTATTATATATAAATAGAAAACAACCAGACTGATACAAATGTACCAACAAAATTTTATATAAACAGTCAACATTACACCTTCTCTTTACTACAATATTAAAAAACGACACATTTTCAATTCCAATATTTAAGACCCTCTGTATAATATAAAAATATGAACTGGTACCTGCCAATTTGTAAAGTGGGCTCTGTAGCATACACCTGCCCCTTAAAACCAGTATCTTCAGTGATGAACGGTAGAGCCATCATACATGTATAGTTGGATATGAGTATCACATCCAGTTGGGAGAAGTCCACCACCTTATCAAGTGGCGGACAAAACTCCGGGATACTGTCCACAAATACCCGACCACAACATTCCTTTAGTTCCTAAAATATAATTATATACCACTGTAGTTCAATAAGTACCATAGACTAAATATAAAATTGTAATTAAATAAAAGTTTTACGCTAATTCTTCTTGTGATGTGTTTGCTATCTGAATGAGTGTGATAAAAGAAATATAACTATTCAAAAGTGCTTATATTAAGTTTATTTGAATAAATATTATTTCGAAAAATAAAATATTTGTATAATATAAATAAGAACTAAAAAATCACCACCAATTGTTTAAGTAAGTTACTTGAAAAAATGCAGAGGTAAGTTCTACATTATAGTGTAATTGTAAATTAAGTATAATTGTAAAAATAAATAGTATATGTATAAATCTTGTAAATAAATTAAAATAAAAAATACTGACCCCTTCAAGTAGTGGATCATTGATATGTGGGGGAGTGTAGTTCGGTAGTGAGGCGAGGCGAGTGCTGGGAACTGGTGGCAGAGGCAGGAAATTGAGTACAGAGTGAGCCGACAGCCCGCAGTCCAGCATGATGAGGAGCTCCTTGAAGGACAAGACGAAGCATGGCTTCGCTGCATCACTACTCAGGCAGTACTGGAAGTTCATACAACACAATACATTGTGAAATTATTTTTAAATTAATTATAAATTTGTACCTGCAGTGACAATATATTTTTTACAAGATGCTGTTTTCCAAGAATGCCCAGGAGCAGAGGATGATTAGTTCAACCCAGCATATCAACTAATCCATAAGAATTAAACTCTATACTAAAGATATAAAGAGGGAAAGTTTGTAAGTATTTACGCAAAGTAATCTCTGGATCTACTGAATCAATTTTCTTTTACCAACAGAATGCCGTGTTATTTCCGAGTGTCATAGGCTATATAATAGTATGCTACAACCAATATTAGTGCAGCTATAATGAAAATGTTGCATACACAAGGAAAATGTGACAATATCTTCTTGTAATGCGGTTTGTTGCCTTGTCTTGCAGTAGATTGGAACGCTTAGTTTTAACATAACAATCTATCACAGTATGAAGATATAGTCTAATACAATATTAAATTTTGTGTGTCTTACCAGCTTCATTTTGATTTCTCAGCTTAACCTAACAACTAAAATAAATAAAGACTGACATTAAAACAAACTTTTTAGACGGCAGACAATATGAATAGTTTATAAATAAATTTTAAGATTTGTTGTAAAATATATTTAATATACGCAGAAACAAACTATTATGAACATTGTTGTGAGGATTTCAACTACAATTATAATTATATTACAACCGCATCCAAACAAAAACTGACAGAAAGCCGGTTGGCTTGTCAACTTGACACTCGTGTCAACATTGCCAACAACAAATACTAACTTTATGTACTAGTCAGAGTTGTCAGTATTGAAAAAGACCAAAGCGAAATACATTACATAAACTATTGTAAAAGAACAATTCCAGAAAATGAATCAAAAATATATTTCTTAGTAGGTATTTTTATTAAAAACGTATTTCTATGAGTATTAATTCATAGATTGTCGTTCTGTAGTTAGTCGTGTCATTTCTTTGCCATAAATTTTCATTAAAAACTAGTCAATTCAGTTTTAAAAATAACTTATTGTGCTAATTCTATATAAGTACTTTATAATAATTGTTTTTTGAGTAAAATGACTAACAAGATATTGTTACCTACAACCGGTCCCCCTCTGGAAAAGTGATGTGATTAGTAGCTGGTGAATTCGCCACGATGGCTTATCTGAGCTGTTTTCATCCTCACCATATCATCTTAGACTGGTGTCCCGCCAGCTTAAACCATTAGCGCAGTGGATGAACCATATCATTATATCAACAAAAAAATCACACGGCGCATTACTGATTGTTTACTAAATCATATTAGAAAGAACTAAGTAGATTACATAAAATATATTACAAAAAGTTGCTAAATACGTAAATTACTTTTCAAATTTGACTCATTCCATTCTAATCTGGTGCCAGCTTAGTGGAGACCCTTTTAGCTATATTTTTATTCTGTATTATGATGCTGAATAAATTATTATTATTATATCCGAGCAGAATGGAACGTAGATAGTTACGGCAAAATTGTGATTGAAACTATTGCCATCGAGTTTCGGTGAGGCGCAGGTCCTGTATACAGATAGAGCTAATACTGAAAATGCTTATATAATATAGTAATTTTATTTGGTGTACACATTTCTATTCAGCACAGAATACTAAAATGAAGTAGTTCTATAATTAGTTGATTAATTAATAAGTAGACAACAGCATATTCTGTTATTATTGTTCGATGTCGATTGTCTAATTATATCATGAATCCGCGTTTAAATGGAGCGGCCGGTCTCTGCCGGCTACAATGTAATATCGTTTGTCATACACCGCGTGCAATTAATCAAGAGTAATTAATTCAGTGAGGATGCTAATCAGTGATGTAGCTAGGTAACCAAGGGCCCTGGGGCAAACAAAAAAATGGGGCCCCACCGCTCAGCAGTGGGGCCTACATTACAGTTTTATTAAAACGCACATATCGCTATCCCTCAAATTGACAACACTGCCAACCCACAGAAAGAATTTAGGGATATTCCGTAGGTATAACTTTCGATTTTCTCTCAACTGAGTTGCCATGATTAAAGTGGGGTTGCAACCTGTCATATTCATTTTGAAAATGGGTGAAATTTTCAAAAGTTCACTTCGATTGAGATTTTCTGGTAAGGGATCGAGGGCCCCCTGAGATTGAGGGACCCGGGGCACTGCCCCGCCTAGCCCCTAGGTGCTACGCCACTGATGCTAATACGGCACTCGCGATCATTAATTAGCGACCGTAACAAAGATCCGCCGAGCGCGGGCACGGGGGCGTACTCTCAAATTACAAATCAGAATGTGAACTTTGCATTGTTTTGTCCGATTCAAATTATCACTGCGATCAAAATTGTGGAGAGTAGATTACGTACAGACACCATTAGTCATAAAACAGATGGATAATTTGATTGGAACAGTTAAATAAAGAGTTCGAACGAACTAGCAACACGAACACCAGGGCGTTTCACCTATTAGAAGCCCTGGGTACATTAGGATAATGGCGCCCCTATGACTATAGTAATAAAGCACTATTTTGTTAGAATAGACAATCATTTTTGAACATGACTCTAGAGGTATGCGGGGATACCATACCTTCAAAACAAATCAGTTAAAAATAATTTTAAAAAGCCGTTATGTGATGAGAGATACTAGTTCTTGCTAGACATTTATAAAAAAAAAATTTACCATAGTCGGTAAGCATTTGTTAAGACTGATTTTTAGGCGAGAGTAGAGTAGCTATCGGTTATCGTTTGGTAATAGAGTAGGGACTAGACTAGACTGGGGCGCCCCAATCCATCGCGGGGCCCTGGGCACGTGCCCAGTCTGCTCAGTGCGGAAGAGGGGCCTGGGAACAACGTAGATGTCATTCTCGCAGGGTGCGTAAACAACATTAAAATCTAACTGTCCTGTCGCATGCTTTGTAATGTTTACATACCTACCTATGTGTCATGTTACTAATATTATAATGTCGGATGTCTGTCAGTGTAGATGGATGGATGTTTCTTACTCTTTCACGCGAAAACTACTGAATAATTTCTAATTAAATTTTACAATAAGATAGCTTATTAAAATAACATATAGGCTATGATTTCACGCGGGTGAAACCGAGGGCGCAGCTAGTATATAATATTTTGATGAGTAGGTAGTAAATCGACCTCGTGGTGCTGTGCTAAATATGGAGGTAGAACAACGCCGTGTTTATATGTAACTAGCTACTCGCCCCGTCTTCGCACGGGTGTACATGTATTATACATATAAACCTTCCTCTTAAATCACTCTATCTATTAAAAGAAACCGCTTTAAAATCCGTTGCGCAGTTTTAAAGATTTATGCATATATAGGGACAGCGACTTTATTTTATACTATGTAATGAAATCCAATTTTTTTTGTGTGGTTGAATACGGAATAATTTTTGCTCCTTGCATCTGATTATAAAATAAGTATAAAGGCAGGTCGGTTAGCTCAGCGCTGCAAATTAGTAAAGATCCTTTGCAAGAGAGACCGCGTCGAAGTCAACATGACCCCCAACATCCGAGATTAAAGCAGAATCGAAACTAGATACATGGGACAGGGAGCCAAGTGAGGTAGAGTGCGAACTTTATACATTTAGACTTGGGATAAGGGTGAGACGTATGGGGTACGTGTGAAGGGGGGGAGGTGGCGAAGAAGTCGAATAAAACAAGCGGCCGCCCGCGTGAAATATTGCGCGCTGTACTTACAAGTTGGGCGAGTTTTGGTTATTACACTTTGCAGTTTGCTCACAACGTGTAATTCCTCGGGCTCGTGTCACGTCACACGTGTCAGAATATGTTTGTGCGGTAACATCCACCCAGATAAATATACATACGTACGTACCTACGGTTTTTGTAATATAAAATCACAGTATTCATAGCTTAAGTAAGACTTGGGTGGTAACAAGGTCAATTGTATTTATAAGGCAAACGTAGCCCTATGCACAACAAAAAATCAGTAGATTTTGCCAAACTGAAGAGGAACCGCCACTACATATTCTATGTGGTTGTAGCCCACTCATGCATAAACGAAATATCTCCTTTGGAAAGTTTACACTCTATCTTGAGGAGATAAAAACCATCGCTCCTAAGAGTATCCTTCAATTCTTGTCCCTGACGGGTCTAGGTAGCGAACTTTGAAAAGGGCGAGCACAATAGATCTATGTAGGTCGCAGTGCTACAGGTCCATGCACCTGACAATGGCCCAAGGAACTATTGGGAAGTTTCGGAAATGATACGTCGATGCAGCAGTACTTATATTTTATTCCTTTTTCAAATTACACTCCACATAAATTGCGTCGCTGTACATTCACGTGTGGTCGTCTCGGTCGCCTCGAACAGAGTGAGAGCAGCCCGCTCCCTCCTTGTTCCCGGCCTCTTTATCTCTATTACTATTCACCAACATCACGTGACTCGCTATGGTTCCAAATTTGAAATGTAAGAACAAATTAGTCAACTGAGTGTCCTTTATGTATTGAAGCACCCAACAAAAAATTAACAAATTAAATTAAAAAATTACACAAAGACAACATTGAATTAAAAAATTAACAACATTAACAACCCAATAAAAAATATAAGTATACATTAGGTTACAATGTACACATGTACATTGAACAAATACTGTAATAAAGCAATTTATGTTAGTAGCATATCTGAATAGACAATAATATAGTCAGCTATCTACTTAGATAAGAATTACACGACGCAATTACTTGTAGTCTATAGAAGACCAGAAAATTGTATACATCATGTAATAATACAGTGTAGTACTACTATTATGCCTTTCTTATAAGTCTGTTTTTTAATCCTAGAGACTAAGTTGACAGGCGTAAATGTCAAATTTTCAAATAACCTCTCTGCTAAAATTCTTTTACTGTATAATAACTCAATACAATTAATAATTAAGTCTTTTCTGTTGATTCTGCAGATATTACTTTAATGACCCCGATTGTCTAGCGGTTTAGGATACCTCTTTACCGATGATCGAGGGTTCAATTCCTTGCGCGGTATAAACATTTATATTCATGAGTATGATTGTCTGTATCGGTCTGGGTGTTTTCTATGTATAATAATACGATTGTTTATATCGGTCCGAATGTTTTCTATGTACAATAAGTATGTATTTACGAAAAAATCCATGTATTTATATCAGTTGTCTAGTACCCATAACGAGCTCTGCTTTCCTTGTGACTAGATGGCGCTGTGTGAATTATCCTGGACTATATTATTATTATTACATTGTTATTATTGCTCCTATTCGTTTGCTGCGGACTGTTTCGTATCTACTGTAGCTACTTACGTATCAGCTACCTTCGTGTTGGGTAGGTACTCGTGAGTATTCGTTTGTTTTCACTTTATATTGTGAGCAAGTTGTAATTGATGGGGCGAGTTCACCCCGCTGCTGTCCTAAATAATTCTCTAACTTCCGGATGAAAACAAATACAAACAATAATACCGGCGGGACTCGAAGACAAGTGCGTCTTTATCCTATTTCAATTAATAAAATTTAATAACTTTGCCGCTTACTTATACATAACTAAAGTGACATATTAAATTAAATCAATTAACTTAAAACCTTAAAAAATATAATGTATAATAACTGTTATATATTATTAAAAAGAGGCCTTTTAGGCAAGATTCCGAAGATACTGGCACCGTTCCCCCTTTGAATAGCTAGACTAATTCTTTGCCCGAGGTAGCTGCCAGCTCTTCGGTCTTCTGTGATGTCGACTGACCTTTTCGCTATTTCCTTAAAAAGCCTTATAGCGCTAGGACCACACGGACCAAGGGTCTCAACATCGAATGGGACAAAATCATATTCGGAGCCTAGACCCCTGTATTTGCCTGCTTTAGCTTTTTCGGCCGCTTCACAAACCACACCAGCTCTGATGTTAGTTCCATGTAGATGGAAAGAGGCCAGCGTGTCTGAACAGGTTGCATCCCATACCAGCACCCGGCCCATCTTCCATGGAATCAAACTCATACCCAGCGTGTCTGAACAGGTTGCATCCCATACCAGCACCCGGCCCATCTTCCATGGAATCAAACTCATCCCCAGCGTGTCTGCACAGGTTGCATCCCATACCAGCACCCGGCCCATCTTCCATGGAATCAAACTCATCCCCAGCGTGTCTGCACAGGTTGCATCCCATACCAGCACCCGGCCCATCTTCCATGGAATCAAACTCATCCCCAGCGTGTCTGCACAGGTTGCATCCCATACCAGCACCCGGCCCATCTTCCATGGAATCAAACTCATCCCCAGCGTGTCTGCACAGGTTGCATCCCATACCAGCACCCGGCCCATCTTCCATGGAATCAAACTCATCCCCAGCGTGTGAACAGGTTGCATCCCATGGACCCAATGGAATCAAACTCATCCCCAGCGTGTCTGAACAGGTTGCATCCCATCGACCCATCTTCCATGGAATAGGTTGCATCCCATACCAGCACCCGGCCCATCTTCCATGGAATCAAACTCATCCCCAGCGTGTCTGCACAGGTTGCATCCCATACCAGCACCCGGCCCATCTTCCATGGAATCAAACTCATACCGTCCGGTAGACAGGTTGCTATTCGGAGCGTGTCAGGCTCAAGAAATGTTCCTTTATTTGACGAAGAATAGAATAGAATAGAAAATCATTTATTCAAATAAACTTACATTGAAGAACTTTTAAATAGTCATTACATTTTATTAATCTACTGCTCATTCGGAAAGCTGTCTCATCACAAGAAGAACGAGCAAGAAACTTGTGTGTTGCTCTTTTAAATAATTTTATTCTTACTTTACAATTTAAGTTTAAGTGTGTGAATACAAACTACCGATGAGCACTAGAAGGGTACGCGTAAAGCCAGTAGCCGGCTTTATGCGAACCCACCCCAAAAGCACGCGCAGAACATGCCCTACAATTGAACAGATTGTCATAATCAATTACTTAATACAATTACATTATATAACGAAATTATGAATATATGAGTAGCTTATAATATGGATAATTCAACGAGAAAATGCAATATAATACTGTCCTATGTAAGTTTACGTGTATGTATGAGTATGTCAGCTTCTTCACTGATTTCTAAATCACGCAATTGATTTTAATACTCTCGATGTTTTTAGGCATGGTAAGTATATCCTAATAACATTAGTAATAGTATACGTTAATATTATAATAATAATAATAATAATAGTGTTTAAAAATAATGTTTATAATAATAAAAACAATAAAATGTTTTCACAAATATATTTTAAAACTATTTATTAATAAAACATTGGTGTCTATAATTATTCTGCAATTCACAGAATATTGTTATGACTTAATGTACCCAGTAGGTCGCTAGGTACTTAACATATATGATCATATTTGCGGGAGGTGAGAAGCGCGTGAGGCTGTTATATTTTAATTGCAAATCATTTTAACTGTATATGATTATAATTATTTGTGTAATACCACAATATTAATTATATTACGTAGGTATATATTATTTACTATTTAGTTTATTTCTTATTACATAACTTTATGCAGCGAATATTGTACGCATTTATATAATTTAGCTTTTTGTCATACATATAGTAGTACATACATATAGTTTGACGACCTCGGTGGTCTAACGGTCTAGCACACCGCTTTACGTCCAATGGTCGCGGGTTCGATTCCTCGCACGGCACAAACATTTGTATTCATGAGTATGATTGTTTGTATCGGTCTGGGTGTTTTCTATGTATAATATCTAAGTATTTACGAAAAAAAAGATCTATGTATTTGTATCAGTTATCTAGGATACATAACACAAGCTTTAGCTAGCTTAACTTGGGTCTAGATGGCGCTGTGTGAATTGTCCTGAGATTATTATTATCATACTGTTGGATTGCAATCCGTTTTGTACCGATCTACACGCTCTAATTATATTATTTTATTGATTGTAATCTGTTTTGTATGCTAATAAAGAAATACAAACGGGAGCTCTACGCTTCGGTGTTTATGTGTTCATGTCTTCATTAGATCTCGTAGATTGTACAAGAACATGGAAGTAAACCTATTATTATTAATTTAGTTCAATTATGTGGGTAATTGGGATAGGAATTCATTAATATAATTATATCACGCAACAATTGACTCAGAGAAGGTTAATTCACATTAAACTGATTTTGTTTAATGTTGTTTTGAATATAATTGACGATTGCAAGAAATAACGACCTTCATGGCTACATGCAAGTTGAGAAGTATATAAATTGTTATTTTATTTATTACAATTATATACACTGCAACGATTGTCATCTGATAAACGTAATTAAATCGTCGATGAAGCAAATATCAGGTTGGTTTGACCCTCGCTGCTGACCTGCATTGTTGTGCGGCCGGACCGTTCTACAACGGCGCAGTCTTCACCCGCGGGCCTCACACGTCGTTCCTCTACAGCTATGGCTCGGAGCCAGTTCACGAGGAAGGAGATCGAGGGTCGCAACCACAGGGAGGATGCCGCGTTCGTGATTGATAACGTGGTGTACGACGTGACGCAGTTTCTGCGGGAGCACCCTGGAGGCGCGGAGGCGCTGCTCGACAATGCAGGTGCTGATGCCACGCGCAGTTTCAGCGACGTGGGCCACAGTCACGACGCGCGTGCCCTCATGCAAAAGTACGCTGTGGGGGAGCTGGTGGAGAGTGACCGCTGGCAAGTAGAGACCACAGACTCGACTGACTTCGGCGACAGCAGCGGTACAGCCGCCAGCCTGCTGGTAATGCTGGGCCCGCCACTCGCGTTGGCTGCCGCCTCTATATTTCTCTACTCGTATGTACTCTAGCTGTGTTTGCTAAGAAAGCTGTCCTTCAACAGTGTCAGATGTGAGTTTGCGGCTATGTACAAAATTGCTACTTCAAAATACTTACGTTACCCTTACGTTCAACTGTCTGTATTTATCATTTCTATGTGTTTACCAATATTATCATTAATGAGTGAATGAAGCTATTTACTAAATTGATTTTTTGGTGGAAAGGATGTAGATACTTCCATGATAATCCCACGGTTACTTACCATACTTTTCCAAAGAAACCTTCAAATTGATTTGCGTGTATTTTGTGTCTGTGTTTTCTAGTCAAGTTGTTCAGGTATGATACCTCTGGGACTCTTGAGACTCATCTCACACTACTGACCTGATGATGGAAGCTTCAGGTGTCCTTATCTGGAAATGTGTTGTTAAGAACTTGTATGTTTAGTTGAGTGAGTGGAAATTAACTTATCACAAACTTTGTACGTCACCTCACCTGTATATAAATTAGTGTGTGTCCAACACAGTAATTGTGTAGCGACAAAATTTTTTTTTTATTTATTTTTGGAATCAAATACACTTATATATTAATTTATTCTATCAATGGCCTCGTAGTTGTTAGAGTTTCATGAATGAAATGAAGTGAATGTTTGAATGGGTGTCCGTTTAATATATTCACTATTACTTTGCTTGTCAGTAGATTCTCTGGTTATTTATTATGAATAAAAAATATTTTTTATACGATAGCTATTTTATTTGAATTAATTGACAATGTCAATATTCTTACTATACTAAATATTATATTATCTGTGCTATAGGTTAACACACATATATATATCACTATATTGCGGGCTTGTTTACCTGCATGTATAAAAAATATTAGGCGGTCAGTGTGGAAGAGCAGACGTTTGGTAATCAGCTTGTGATGGCAAGCTGATTACCAAACGTCTGCTCTTGAACTGATAATTCGTAACATAACAGTAGTGTGTCGAATTTAAGTAACGGTCAGGTATAACACTGCATACTACACCAACAATATCTAAATACATACTAATCCTAATGGAATCAACAAAGTAAGAAAATGGAAGAAGAGCAAAATTACGAATAATAAATCAAATAAATTACCTAGCATGTTGTCACCGTAGTATGATCTCAACATAAGCAGAGCTTATACGTTAGTGAAAATGTATTGATTACGGGATCAAACTTGCAACCATCGGAATGAGAAGGCCGCGTGCTAACAGCACTATAGGTACAGGGAAGTAATGGCGACTGAAGTGACAACATTTAAGGAAAATTATGTTCCAAAATATAAATAATACTGCACAATAAAAAATAATACTACGTGTATACAGGCATTAGTACATCTATACATATAAATAAAATTGAAGTGTTTGTTTGTAATATTGAAGTAACCGATTTTTACTACAGGTATATGAATATAAAAACGGTACATACACCAAAATAACATTTTTTACAATTTTTGTCGGTCTGTCGGTCTGTCTGTTTGTTCCGGTTAATCTTTGAAATGGTTGGACCGATTTTGGCGGGACTTTTATTGGCAGCTAGCTAAAATAATAATGAGTAACTTAGGCTACTTTTATTTTAGAAAATTTTTCTAATTAACTTTTTTGTTAAATTCCACGCGGACGAAGTCGCGAGTACATCTAGTTACATTTTTTCTAAGTTAGGCAAGTGCTATTAAGTTATAAAATATACAGCAATTAATTTAAAGTAATGTACACTTTACGTATAAACTGCATCGATATAATTCTTGACTAGTTGATTAAAACAATTTGATTGCACAATGTGAATAAGTAATGGATACGAATGTTTCTGTACATTGCGCTATGTTTGCATTAAAATTGTACATAACACTATTTGTGTCAACAAAATGTGTATGTCATCATTGATAAACGGCGGAGATTGTGATGGAGGTGCGCGGGAGGCGGCGGAGTGTGGTGGGGACGAGTGATACGCGGCCCCTCCGACCCACACCACGGCTCACCAGTGCCCGCCCGCCGCGTGAGAAGCTCGCATGCGACCACTACACAACATGGCCGACAAGAAGTTTACGAGGAAGGAGATCGCCGAGCGAAACTCCAAGGACAACGCCGTCTTCATCATCGACAACAGCGTGTTCGACGTCACCAAGTTCCTGGACGAGCATCCCGGCGGACACGAGGTTTTATTGGGCGTCGCCGGCAAGGATGCCACCGAGGACTTCAACGACGTCGGCCACAGTCTCGATGCCAAGGAGTTGATGCTCAAGTACAAGATCGGAGCGGTGGTGGACGAGGACAGAGTGGAAGTGAAGAAACAGTCGGTGACGTGGACGATCGCGAGCGACACAGAGAAGGAGAGCAGTTTCGTGAGCTCGTGGAAGTTCCCGGTGCTGCTCGGGATCCTGGCGACCGTCCTGTACACGTACCTGTTCGGGTAGAGACGAGAATACCAGACGCAAAGCGCAGTGAACTAAGGCTAGTAGGTGCGGACCCTGCGCTCGAATTGCGCAGTAAAACAGTTACGACGGCCTAGACCTTCGACCTGCGCTAAATATTTTATTAACAACGTGGACTGTCCGTGTGTGTGTGAGTGTGTGTGTGAAGGGCCACGAACTGTGAGTGTGTGTGAATGCGTACCCGTCTTGGCAGGATATAAAAGCGGGTGAAATTGACGAATTGTAAACGTGAGGTTTATATACAACTATTGTGTGTATAGTAATTAATAAATTATTTTTGTTACACTCCCGTGTATTTATTGTATATTTTCGCTATTTTGTTATCACTACATAGTATAAAACAAAGTCGCTGTCGCTGTCAGTCCGTCCAAATGTATGCTTAAATCTTTAAAACTACGCAACGGATATTGAAGCGGTTTTTTTAATAGATAGAGTGATTCAAGAGGAAGGTTTATATATATATATATAATACATGTACACCCGTGCGAAGCCGGAGCGAGTAGTTAGTTCTAAATATATGATATGGATAGGTATCCGTCCTGCGTGCAGGACCGCGGTGTTTACATCGGGCTCGCGATCAGCTGCTCCGGTCGATGCGTGTCCCGGTGGTCGCCTAGTTAAAACCAGTAGTGCCGGTTCGAGGTTGTACAATCAATGATTGCATCATATTTAATGTCGAATGTGTTACGACTCATAAGTCGTTCTATAGCAAGTTATGTATTGCTGCATAGTTCAATTATTAATACTGTGTATTTGTTTCAGATACAGCTAGGTCATTTGTTATACACATTCTATAAATTTAGTAAAAAAGTGTAGACTTAATTAAAATTTTTTTAGGTTAATTTTAGGTTCTTAGTTGTACAATTAAGTTATATAAAAATCTAAAATATATAATTCAATATTCAAATTCAAAATATCTTTATACATGTAGGTCTATTATAGACTCTTATGATATGTCAAATCTACCGTCAGTTCGGAATGGTTTCGAGATGAGAAGAACTGACAAGAAACTCAGCGCTCAAATATACGAGCTGAGTTTCTTGTCAGTTCTTCTCAATTTAACATAATGTAGCTTTTGTTCGAGATCGAATGACGAAGCTCACAAAAAAATACAAAATACTACATACATATACTATAATAGGTAATTAAATTAAAAATATTGTGTTCTCATCAAATAAATAACATTTTTGACGTACAAGTATGGAAAGTATAAATCTCAAGTTTAAGGATATAAAATTTACTTATTTGTGTTGCTATATCTTATTTATATAATTAATAAAATACAAACTTACAGCTAATTGTCAAAACGTTTATATTTTAAAACTATTATACATTACTATATATACTACTTGAACTATACAATGACAAAAATATTCTTATTTTATTTATTATGGAAGACAAGGCATATGTATTGTACATTAGCGACCAGCCCGCCTTCACGTAGGTATACATTCTAAATCTTTGAAATTTTAGGCTTGGTCTATACTATAACACGGATGTATTATATATATAAACCTTCCTCTTGAATCACTCTATCTACTGCTGAAAACTGCTTTAAAATCCGTTGAGTATTAGAATAGATTAGAAAATCCTTTATTCCAATAAACTTAATCTAAGCATTTTTGAATAGTCATCACATTTTCTTTATCTACTGCTTATTCGGAAAGCTGTTCCATCCCAAGAAGAACGAGCAAGAAACTTGTCATCATCTGCTTCTTCCTTATCTCATTTATTTGTGGTCGGCGTAATATGTTTTTCTCTTCCATTCATCTCTGTTCGCAGTCATCGCGTTATTAACTTCCTTTCTTACCATATTATCTTTCACACAGTCCATCCATCTCTTTTTCGGTCTTCCTCTACCCTTATAACCATCCACATTCATATGTAACACCTTAAAATATTATCCTCATTCCTACGCATTACATGCCCATACCACGATAGACGATTACTCTTCAACCTCTCCGACACCGGCGCCACTTTCATACTTCCTCTGATGTATTCATTCTTTATCTTGTCTATCCTCGTCACACCACACATTCATCTCAACATTCGCATTTCAGTTGCATGCAGTCGTCTCTCATCCGTCGCCTTTATGGGCCAGCACTCTGATCCATACAAAATAGCAGGCCGGATCATGGTCTTGTAAATTTTGCCCTTAAGTTTAAGGGGAACTCGTGAGTCGCACGTCGTTGCCGTAACCTGCCGCCACTTCATCCAACCTGAGTTAATTCTATGCTTTATGGTTCGGTCTAATTCGCCATTGCTTTGAAGGAGTGAACCTAAATACCGGAAATCGGAGCAGATCGGCAATGGAGCTCCATTTAGTGATATGAGAGAGATGATTTCAGAGATTAGCCGGAACAAACAGACAGACAAAAATTGTAAAAAATGTTATTTTGGTGTATGTACCGTATTTATATTCATATGCATGTGGTAAAAATTTCAATATTACAAGCAGACACTTCAATTTTATTTATATGTATAGATATAAGCGAACAGACAGCAACAACTTTGTTTTATACTATGTATATGTAAAAATGATACTTATTAGGTTTCGAAGTGTGTAATGTGTATATGTAGTACTATGTAATATTGTATTATCTGTGGTAGTACACTATACAAACTTGGTGGAGTATTAATATGCGATGTGGCGGTGTAGACGAGATGGTATCGACAGTCGACCGTCGTCTGCTTATCTGTTAATGTAAACACCGAGATTACATACAAAAATAATATTCTTATCAATGTCTGATAAATGAATAATGAATGTTCTGGAATTAGGTGATTAATGCATATTTATGTAATTATATAATAATACTATGAGTATAATAGCCGCAATAATTACGTACTTACAATGGGTTAATCGTAATCAAAATGTTTTTTTCTATGGTCACTGTTACTATGTACCTACGTATTTTTTGTCGTTCATATACTTCTTCTTTTGAATGAATGAATGAAACTCTTTATTGTTCCTCTCACAGTTCCTTCTTTTGTAGGTGCCATCTATCGGAGATTGGCGATCGTTACGACGATTTACTTTGTCCACGGCGGTCCTAAAAAGGGACCTGGTGCTCAATCCAAACCACTGCCTGAGGTTTTTTAACCACGAAGTACGGCATCTAACTGGTCTTCAGCAACCCTAGATTTTGCTTGTAGAAATAGAAATAATCTTTATTCAAATAAACTCATTACAAGCACTTTTAAATAGTCATATTTTGATTCTACCACTCATTCGGAATGCAGATTGATCACAAGTAGAATGGGCATGAAACTTGTGTGTTGCTCTTTTAAATGTATTATTAATTGCAATAATTACGTACTTACAATGAGTTAATCGTAATAAAAATGTTTTTTTCTATTGTCACTGTTACTAAGTACCTAAGTATTTTTTGTTGGTCATATACTACACTAGACAAACTTAGTGGTGAACATACTCCATGTTCAGAATATACTCGTAGCTCATATCAAGAGCGCCGTGGTCTAGTAATAATAATAATAACTGAATGAATGGTGCATCCGCCTGCGTTAACGGTTTACGCTGGCTGGTGGAGCACCAGTGGAAGATGATAAGATGAGCACGAGGTCTGGTCAGTTAGCACATCGTGATAAATTCACCAAGAATTTATCACGATTTCCAGGACGTGTGGAGGACAACTTGACATAGTACATTGCTAGCAATAAGATCATCAGTAATTTGTACTAACAACCCCCTTTCAACCCAATTTACCACGATGGTTTCCAGGGAGAACCGCGTGGAGGTAGACTTGACATGGTACTTTGCTAGCAATAAGATCATCAGTAATTTGTACGAACAACCCCCTTTCAACCCACTCCGGTATATTGACAGAGGGGTGGTGTATCGTGTCGTGTCGTATGCCTGGAGCCGTGGCCGCGGAATGTACACATCGGCGAGCGACGGGTAATTTGGTAACATTTCATAACCCACGAGCCGTGGGGGGTCGGTGGTCGGTATTTTTGCTTCTCAAACTTTGTTCGCTCAATATGTGTTTCCGTTCTTATCGTTTCATAAAAGCCCATATTTTTTTGGAGGGCGCCGCTGAGATATATTTCTGAGGCGTACCAATTAGACTGGGAAACTTCATAATGAAATAACATTATAATAATAAGAGGCGAGGTGTGTTTACGTAATGGAGAACGAACCCTCGTCGGTTACAGAGAAAATAAACCGTCGGCTCTACGGGCGCACGGCGCGGCGCGGCGCGGGGCGGCGAGAGCGGCTCCCGAATATATATTCCTGATTTTACGCTCTGATTACTGTAGTACGAGGTAAGTATAGTGGAAGCCCCCTGTTTTATGGTTAATCACCTCGACGACGCAAGAGGCTAACACATGAATCAATATATATATATATATATATAAATAATAATAATCTCAGGACAATTCACACAACGTCATCTAGACCCAAGTTAAGCTAGCTAAGGCTTGTGATATAGGTACTAGATAACTGACACAAATACGTAGATTTTTTCGTAAATACATATATATTATACTAGCTATTTGCCACGGCTTCGCACGTGTGTACATGTATATATATGTAAACCTTCCTCTAGAATCACTCTATCTATTTAAAAAGACCACTACAAAATCCGTTGCGTAGTTTTAAAGATTTAAACATACATAGGGACAGACAGCGACAACGACCTTGTTTTATACTATGTAATGATATAGAACACACCTACAACGATAGAAACAATCATACTCATGAATACAAATGCTTGAGCCGTGCGAGGAATCGAACCTGCGACCATCGGAAGTAAGGCGCTAGAACACCCAAGCCTTCAATTACATTGAAATGCCTTTCGGTTGGGCTTTAGAACTGAATAAATTTTTATAGCACTTCTAAGTGCTAATAAAATTTACTCCACAATAATTATTAACAAAAGCCTGAGTACATAGGTAATGTATATATACGTGCTAACGTGGGGTATGTATATATAATGCAGAATATAGTATAACATATATAGTATTAAACAAGTTGCTGCCGCTGACTTTTCGTTTATATCTTTTAGGTGGAAAAATATAATATAAAAAAAAATACGTTCATAAGCGGCTAAACTGTCCTACATGAGTAAATGATTTTTGAATTTGAATTTGATTTTAAATTACCCAACAGATTTAAATGCAGTTTTCTACAATGTATAGAGTGATTTAAGAGGAAGGTTTATGTGTAAAATACATACAGGTTATAGTATATAACAAGTCGAGAAATTATATAAACTATAAAAATTTAAAACCTGTCTAAAGTGAAAAATATTTCTTGGTTA